AGCCTAGGGGTAAATTAGTTAATAATATACAGGACATACAACAGCCTTTAGAATACTTAATAAATGTTAGATATCAGTTGGAACGGAGGGAAGGAAAACAGTCTGAAAGAGCTGGGGTCCTAAATGAATTTCACCAAAGACTTTCAGTCTATTTTCATTCCAGTGTGGAGTGTAGAGGCCAGGATTTAGCGCTTGTTGAACTCTGTTGTTCTGTGAGTTTACACTTGTCATTTTCATCTCTGCGCCTCACGTTGTTTATTTTTAAACTACAGTAAGCTCCCCTGCAATTCCCAGGTTCTGATTCATCTGCTTCCTTTCCTGTTTCCTCTGTAGCTGTCTCCATCATTCTTCTCTTTTCCTGAACGCCTTCCTTACCAGAAAAACTACATTTCCCAGGAGCGCCCACAGGCGTCAACGTCGCGCAGTTCTTCGTCGTCACTCCGCGCCCTTTATACCCACTTCCGCCCGTGAGCTACTTCCTTTCTTTTCGGCGACGCACGGCGGCAAGATGGCGGTGCAGATTTCCAAGAAGAGGAAGGTGAGCTCCTGGGCTCGGGGCCCTGGGGATTGCGGCGCCGTGCGGGTCAGGGCCTTCTCGGGGTGCCGTGTCGGGACCCGCAGCTCCCTGCCCTGCTCGGCGAAGTGGCTTGGGCCGCGAGGCATCCCCGCGGGCTGCGGATGGCGGTGGATTGAGTGCGGGGGCCCGAGCCAGGCGAGCGCGGTGTGGCGGGGAAAGGGAGACGATTTCCGCCGGTTCGGGGCGGAGAGTAGAGATGAGCACCGGGCTCCTCTCCTGCCCCGGAGAAGGCGCGTGCGAGCATCTCTTGGCCAACAAATAACGATGAGTGAACGCGTGGTGTCTGGAGAGTGTGAGCCGAGCCGGTCGCTTCAGATCTCAACAGCGTGGCTTTGGGAAGGGGTGGGCGTCTGGCCTTCTTCCTAGTCGTGTCTGGGTGCCGCCTTCGGGCCCTAAATGCTCGAGCTGCACGGGCTGCTGACGGCTGATTACTCCGGGGAGAAGCCGTGGGCCAGCGGAGGGAGGGTCCGCGGGAGAGCGCGCCCTCGTGTCCCTTTTCGCTTTCCCACGGGAAGGGCTCTCCAGCCCGTTTGTTGTAGAAGTTGGTTATTTTTCGTAGACACTACGTCCACGTTCAAACGACATCCACACGCTTTTGTGAATTGCACCCTCTGGGAGACGGCCACGCCGGCCAGGCGAGAGCGCGGGTCCGGGTCCCGCCTCTGCGGTCCGCGCCGTCCCTGCGGCGGGGCGGCTCGTCGCTCGCCTGCTGGGGCCCCTGCTGTGCGGATGAATGAGTCGTCAGCGGGCCCCGTGAGCGCAGTTGTTGGGCGTGTGTACGTGCGAACGACGGTCCCGAGAGCCCTTCGATGAGGAGACGATGACGAGTCTGACTGGGGTGTTGCTGTCCAGGTGGTCCCTGCTCGGAGCTGCGTCCTGCGGCGCCGTGGTCAGGGCCCCGGGTCAGAGTCGCCACCAGACGATGACCAAGAGGCATTTGTCTGAGAAGGGCTTGCTCCGTCCCTTTCGGAACCAGGGCTGGACGATGGGTGAGGGGCCGTTTGTTGGACGGGTTGAGTTTGGACGAGGGTTGCATTGGCGGAAAGACCAGGCGGGGAAACGTGAACCTGCACCCACGCCCTAACTTTGAATTCTGTTTTTGTTTTGTTTTTTTGTTAGTTTGTTGCTGATGGCATCTTCAAAGCCGAACTGAACGAGTTTCTCACCCGGGAGCTGGCCGAAGATGGCTACTCTGGAGTTGAGGTCCGCGTTACGCCAAACAGGACAGAGATTATTATTTTGGCCACCAGGTAAAAAGTCGTTTATGTTGCATAGACTGAGGTGGTTTTGGTCTGGAAGCTTAAGGGGACAGCCAGTACATTTGGCCTTAGGAGTGCAATAATTGGCTTTTATGAACGGCATTTTTTAAATCTAACTAGTAGTTCCTGTCACCCACACTTTCTTCTTGCTTGTGTCTGATGAATGAGGTTTTACTGCTCCGCAGATGGAAGATTTGAGGTTACGTGTGGAACCTTGTGAGAGCTGTGAATTGCCGCTTTTTGCTTTCCCAGGACGCAGAATGTTCTTGGTGAGAAGGGTCGGCGGATTCGGGAATTGACTGCCGTGGTTCAGAAGAGGTTTGGCTTCCCTGAGGGCAGTGTGGAGGTGAGTGGTCTGGCCTAGGTCCATGATGACTGTGGGCCTGGAGATGGCACTTGTAAAAACCCTTCTCTCACTGAAGACTGTTTATTCATGCTCATTGAATATTACAAATGGGTTGGTATTTTGTTGAAGATCTCATAATAAGCTTAATTTTACAAGCCTGTTCTGCTCAGTTCTGGTGGTTAGGGAATTTTACATCCACCTTGAGTGGTAATGATACACATGATGGATCGGGTGCCCATCGGTCTCCTTGGTGTGGCTGTAGGAAGAGCTAGGGATGCGAGGGCAATGGGAATGGTTCAGTTCATGTCACTGAGTGTTTGCTAGGTGTGGGGAGTACTAAGGGATGCTATAGTGATATATGTTTGTTTCTTTCTTCAAGCTTTATGCTGAAAAGGTGGCCACAAGAGGTCTGTGTGCCATTGCCCAGGCAGAGTCTCTGCGTTACAAACTCCTGGGGGGCCTTGCTGTGCGGAGGTGAGTACGTATCCCCTTTTTGCGGATCAGAATATGGTGTGTTTGCCATTTTATTAATTCAGCAGATGAACTCTACATGGCAGGATATTTCCAATCCATGTCCTTGTATTTTTTTTAAATATATTTTTATTGGTTTCAGAGAGGAAGGGAGAGGGAGAGATAGAAACATCAATGATGAGAGAATCATTCATCAGCTGCCTCCTGCATGGCTCCCCCCGCCCCGGGATCGAGCCCGCAACCCAGGCATGTACCCTTGACCGGGATTGAACCCAGGACCTTTCAGTCCGCAGGCCGTTGCTCTATCCACTGAGCCAAACCGGCTAGGGCTCCATGTCCTTGTTGAACTGGCAGTGTAGCAGGAAAAACTAGTAAAGAAGCAAGTCTTTTTTTTTTAAATGTTTTTTAGTTGATTTCAGAGAGGGAGAGAGAGATAGAAACATCAATGATGAGAGAGAATCATTGATTGGCCTGCACACCACCCACCGGGGATCAGTCCAAAATCTAGGCATATGCCCTGACCAGGAATCAAATCGTGACCTCTGGTTCATAGGTTGATGTTCAACCACTGAGCCATGCTGGCTGGGCAAGAAGCAAATTTTTGAAGGAATGATCAGTGTTATAATGGAGAACTGTTCTGAATGCCTGGGGAGTAAAACAAAAATAGAACTCAGAGAGGGAAGGTTGGGCTTCCTGTTGAAGTCACTCAGTTCCATCATGTGTTAATTCTTCTGGGCACTAGAAGATAAGACAGTGCCGATGGAACCGAGCTCTGTACATAGATAGTAATGTGAGGAGTGATGGGCTGCAGCAGAGCCCCCGGAGGTTTTCCAGCAGAGGAAGGACACAGGGCTGCGCTGCCTGCAGGTTGATGTTGGGATGGGTAGGAAAGGCTATAGGCAAGGACATGTAGAAGACTGCCCACCTGATTTGAATGCCAGATCTATATTGCTGCTCAGGCAATAAAAAGTGATTCTCAAAATTTGGTCCCTGGGCCAGCATCAACGCCATCATCTGAGGACTTGTTAGAAAAAATTCTCAGTCCCCACCTAGACCCACTGACTTGGCAAGTGGGAGTGTAGCCCAGCTAGACTGAATAAGCCTTCAGGTGACTTTTGCATTGAAGTTTGACTTGAAAGTTCTGAGACCAGAACAGCTTACTGAACTTCTCAGACCCTTGGGTCTCCTGTCTCTAAATGGGAATCATTATACCACCACCCTTTTTTTGTGAGGATTAAATGAGATTATATGACAGGGTGTGGGGCATGGTGGTGAGTCTGCTCTTTACTTTCCTGTTGAAAGTTGCAGCTAGCTCCAATTATTATCTAAATGAATAAAGTGTGTGTGTGTGTGGGGGGACATGATATTTTTTAAGGCTTACTATCAATTATATAGACCTAGATACGCTTTTCCAGTGTTCTAATAATAGTCAAGGCAGCTAGGATCCTAAACCGATAGGGTGCCTAATGAGCATGAATTCTGGAGTTTGAGGAATGTTTCAGTAAGCCATAAGGGGGTCTCTTAGTGATTGGGTACTTCTGGGTTCTTACTGATGGCTTGCCTGAGTTGGCAGAGATGGACTGGACTGGAAAGGTTTGCTTCAGAGTGATGGGGGCGGGGGTGTCTACTTGATAATCATGAGATTGAGTGTGGGCCTCAACCTTTTTTTAAAAAATCTTATTTGTGGGTCTCAACGTTGGTTACACATTAGACTCACTTGGGGTTTCTTTTATTTATTTTTAAATACTTGTTACTGAGCTTCACCACTCCCAGTTCCCCAGATTGCCAACTTAATTCACCTGGCATTGGGGGGGTGGGGGGTGGTGGTGTTCCTTTAAAGGGACATTGACAACAGGGAAGACTTAGTAAGTTACATGTTTTTTAAACATGGGGTGGGATTGGGTGATTCTATCTTTGGTGATAACACAAATGGATATCTGTCTCTTGTTTTCCCAAAGGGCCTGCTATGGAGTGCTTCGGTTCATCATGGAGAGTGGGGCCAAAGGCTGTGAGGTTGTGGTGTCTGGGAAACTCCGAGGACAGAGGGCTAAGTCCATGAAGTTTGTTGATGGTCTGATGATCCACAGTGGGGACCCTGTTAACTACTATGTTGACACTGCCGTGCGCCATGTGCTGCTCAGGCAAGGTGAGCAGTTGGTAGCTCTTAGGGCAGAGGGTCTTAGTGAATAGATGTGGTTTTCCATGCACACCTCGGTGTTTAGAGAATTCATTTTCAGAGTAGCAGAGCGTGTTAGTACTCCTTGGGCTTATTGATTAGCTGAAGTGAATTGTTGAGATCAGTCAGATCCAAGGGTTGGCTTGTCCTTGTCTCAGCCTCCTGTGTACCCTTCAGTGATGACACGATGACGAGTCAGAAAGGTCACTCCTGCTCTTGGTTCTTGTCAGTGCCATGTTCTGTGGCACTGCATAGGTTCCTTTTGCAAAAGTGTCCTATTCATTGGTTGACTAGAGGCATTTGTCTGAGAAGGGACCAGAACCAGGGATACTTGAGTAACTTACTGTTCTCTTCCTCTGCCCTGTCCTCTTGTGTTGTGGGGGCCGGTGATACCACAGGTGGGTCCTAACCATGGTCCTAACTGTCCTTTAGGTGTGCTGGGCATCAAAGTGAAGATCATGCTTCCTTGGGACCCAAGTGGTAAGATAGGCCCTAAGAAACCCCTGCCTGACCACGTGAGCATTGTGGAACCCAAAGATGAGATACTGCCCACCACCCCCATCTCGGAACAGAAGGGTGGAAAGCCAGAGCCGCCTGCCATGCCCCAGCCAGTACCCACAGCATAACAGGTATGTCTCTAGCAGCCCCTTGGGCGGAATGGGACCCTGTTCCTTTGTCTCCCTGTTACTACTTGTTCTGCACACTGTGGTAAGCATTTGGTGAATAATAATTGGAGTGCACTTAATTTACATGGAAGAATGCTGGTTAAAGCCAGGGGCCCTTTTAATTTCAACCCAGGATTCTTTTGGGAGGGGTGTTTGGACTTGGTCTCTTAAATTCCTGATTACTACGGTGTTTGAAATAGGAATTTCCCTCTATTTATTGTCCTTTTTTACTCAAAAATTTCAAGGCACTCTTGCTAGTAATAAGCTATTATCCTTCAGCAACCCCCTTACAAAGAACACCTGTGGTGGTTTTTTTCCCCTAAAAGTTCTTTGTGTTTATTAGTCTTCATGCAAACCCTCAGTGGGAGTATATACCCATTTGGTAAATGAAAGAACCCGATACTCGGATGAAATTTCTGTTCTTACTGTTGTGCTTTGTTTGGTTTTAGGGTCTCCTTGGCAGCTGGATCTGGAGTCTGGATGTTGCTCTATAAAGACCTTTAATAAAATCTTTTTAAAAGATCCATGGCCTGACAGACTGTACATCCAGTATTCAGACTGAGGGTCATGTCACCTCATCAGAGCATTACTTGGTTGGTTTTTAGGGCTGCCTGGCTCATTATGCTTACGCTTTCACTGAAATCCTCTTGGTTTTGACTGTACTTGTGAGACAGGCCAGGAGGACCCAAGCAGAGCTAACCAGAGAGATAACCTGTTGGGGGTAGTGACACTAAGGTTTGACGGCACCTTGATTAACTCATCTGTAAGGGTTAGGTTTAGAAGAGGGATAATATTGAAGACTATTTTTTTCCTAGTGCATAAGGAAATCTACATTGCCCATAGAAAATAAATATATTGATCATTATATTTTGGGTTATGCTAGGCTCTGGGTGTTGTGCTTCACATTTTAATTCTCAACATCTCTAAAGTGTAAGTGGAATTTGTGCTAGTGATGAAGAGCTTGAAGCACAGATATAAAGAATATTTAAAATTGTCTCCTGTTTTATCATATTTGGAAGTGTTTTCTATTGCTATTTGTAAGTAATTGGTGCTCTTGTTATACTTAGGTGAAACTAATGAGGGGCAGACTTGATAATTCTACAAGACTCATAACTAGATTGATTTATCACAGAGCGGGGACTTTCCTTCCTGATGACAACTGTCATGGGCCTGGAAGGCCAAGTCTGGTAGCCACACCGTCCTGGTGGTGAGGTCTGACTGTGAGATAACCTGGCTCCACAGGCCGCCTAGCGGGTACTCTGATTATTTGGTTGTCTTTCCGACTAGACTATAAGTTACACATGTACAGACAACTGCACATTGTGGTTATACTGCTTGGCACATGGTAAGGGCCTAATGTTTGAGTGAATTAGTGAATTATGTTAGGAGTGTGCACTGACAAATGTATCTTTGGGCCTCCCCTCACTTTTTAAAAGAACCTTTGATGTTTATATCGACTTTGTCTAGACTAATATCTTACTGGTTTTGTCAGTATTGATGGAATTGAGACCACATCTCATTAATAGAGATATTCCCCTTTATAGGGCCTTATCTCTTGTATGTAAAGTTATTGGCATTTTGCAGTTTTACTGGAAATGTTAACTGTTTGAATTGAGCTAAGGTGCTTTATTTCTGTACTTCTGGATTTGTGTAATTCGGTTGTGAGGGGATTTTTTTTTTTTTTAAGAGAAATTAGTTAACTAATGTGAGCATCCAAAGGTCTGGGTGCTGGCAACAGGTTATGACAATCCTGGTCACCTAGGATCTTAGCATCTAATATTGACACAGCCAGTCACAGGTCTTTGTATATTAGAATAGGTGATCTGGCTCGGTTGGTGCGTTGTCCCATGCACCAGAGGGTAAGGGTGTGTGTGGGAGGCAACTGATCAGTGTTTCTTCCTTACATTGATGTCTCCCTTTCTCTCCCCCTTTCTCTAAAATCAATAGTAAAAAATATGTAAAGTGTTCTGCAAATCTCAGTCTACTAAAATTGGAAATTAGTCTGTAGCGTTCAGTAGTGCTGTTAACTTACCACCAGGTGGCGCTATGACAAATGTGCACCCAAGTAGCAGTTTGGGAAGAGAAAAATAAACTTATTGAAGAACAGCTGCTCCTTGACTTAACCCATAAATTGAAAATACTGTAGGTCAAAAATGCCTTCCGTGAACCTAGCCACCAAATCAGCCTAGCTTACTTTAACGTGTGCTCAGAACACTATATTTTACAGTTGGGCAGTTACCATCAGTATTCATCTCAAGAGTAATTACCTTCCTCTTCTCACAAAGCAGGAGATACAGGTGGGCATTTTGTAGACATGATGGAATGCAAAAACACTATCCCGAACACCCTGGCAACACAGTACACTGTAGAGTATCAGTTGTTTACCCTTGGGGTTTGGGACTGACTTGGAGCTGTGGCCCATTGACACTGCCCAGCATCATGAGAGTATTGTACTACATCTTGCTAGCCTTTCTACTGAATGGGAATCACCTCTGCACCGTTATTAAGTCGAAAAATCGTAAGTTAAACATTGTCAGTTGGGAGTGTCTGCTGATAGGAAGAAAAGTATGTAAATTATTAGTATTTAAGTGTGCAGCTTCAATTGTTAACATAAACACCCCTGTATAGCCATTACTTGAGATCAAGAAAGGGAGTTTTTATTTTTATTTTTTATTTTTTTAAAAATATATTTTATTGATTTTTTACAGAGAGGAAGGGAGAGAGATAGAGAGTTAGAAACATCGATGAGAGAGAAACATCGACCAGCTGCCTCTCCTGCACATCTCCTACTGGGGATGTGCCCGCAACCCAGGTACATGCCCTTGACCGGAATCGAACCTGGGACCTTTCAGTCTGCAGGCCGACGCTCTATCCACTGAGCCAAACCGGTTTCGGCAAGAAGGGGAGTTTTTAAACCAGGGGCCCTCAAACTTTTTAAACGGGGCCAGTTCACTGTCTCAGACCGTTGGAGGGCCGGACTATAGTTTAAAAAACAACTATGAACAAAATTCCTATGCACACAGCGGCGGCAAAAACACCCGGCGGGCTGGATAAATATTTTCGGCGGGCCATAGTTTGAGGACCCCTGTTTTAAACCTTTCATTTCAGAAAACCATAGAAGAAATGTAGAGCTTAGGTGAACACTGAATAATCATAGCTCACCAAGACATGCAGGCTTCCCAGAGGATAATCACTAGTCTCCCCCAGTTTTTCTCAGTGAATGGTTTTTCTTCCATATTTTTAAAAAATATTTTATTGATTTCAGAGAGGGAGAGAGAGAATCAATGATTGGCTGCCTCTTGCACGCTCCCTACTGGGGATGGAGCCCGCAACCCAGGCAGTGCCCTTGATCAGAATTGAACCTGGGACCCTTCAGTCCACGGGTGACACTATCCACTAAACCAAACAAGCTAGGGCTGTCATTTTTAAAAAAATATATATTTTATTGATTTTTTTACAGAGAGGAAGGGAGAGGGATAGAGTTAGAAACATCGATGAGAGAGAAACATCGATCAGCTGCCTCCTGCACACTCCCCACTGGGCATGTGCCTGCAACCGAGGTACATGCCCTTGACCAGAATCGAACCCAGGATCCTTGAGTCTGCAGGCTGATGCTCTATCCACTGAGCCAAACCGGTTAGGACTGTCATTTTCTTTACATCTCATGTAGGAGCATCTGACTGGCCAAGTCTGGTATCTGGCCCAGCTGTCAGAGGTGAGAAGATAGATAGCCCCTTTGGCTTTCATAGTGAAAGTGAGGCCCAAACTCAAATATTGCCTCCCTCCCCTCCAAGTGTTCGTGTTAGGCAGCCAAAACTTGTGAAATAGCCCTTGGGACCCACCGGTGGAAATACAGCTGCTGGCAATACGGAAGCAAGTGCCAAAGCCTTTATCGACTTTTTACCAAAAGGCTCTGAAGAGTTAGCTTGTGGTCATTAGAATATGTGGCAGCTGATGACAAGAGCTGAGAGCCTATTGACCAATCGGGCAAGGAAAGAACACCTACTAAAGTCTGAGAACTTGGGAATAGGTCCAGAGGGCAGACAAAGAACCAGCAGATAGCTCTGGAGAACCAGGAAAAGGACACAAATGTGGGGCCAGAGGAAAACAAGGATTTTTTGACGTGAGATGGGGTGGGGTGGGTTTTACCTCCAGACAGAATCTGGGCTTGCAAAACACTTGTGAAGGCTGCTGGAACCCACTGCAGAGTGATAATATGGAGGGTCCTGCTCCTCCCATCTATGATCTCACTCCCAAGGGGGTCCGAGAAACCAGCCACAGTCCCCAGCTCACCACCTCAACTTCTGGCTGGGAAGTTAGGCAAAGGCATGCAGAAGTCAGCCAGGATGTAGTAGACTGAAGGATGCCCTTCTCTGCAGAGCATTTTACAAGGTACATTTGAGAGGCCGGGCTTTACAATTAGAAATCTGGGTTCAAATTCTGACACCAACACTGATTCACTGACACTTTGTACCTTTCTGGTTTTGGTTATCTCACAGGGCTATTGTGGCCGTTAAAGAAGATTTAAATGCCAATATATGTCTCTTCTAGTATTTATCATCTAATAATATTATTTTTGTTTGGAGATATTATTAACAGGTAAGAGCCCAGGCCTTCAAGCCAGACTCTGGATTCAAAGATTGTTTTTCTTACTGTTACCTTAGAGTCATCAGATTTTTGATGTTATTTAAAACAAACCACTTCCATATTTGTTGCTAAAGTTACATTTATAGCTTGATAAGCAGCATGACCATGGTGAGAAGATAATTATGTGCCCTGAGCCTGCTATGAATATGTCATTTAAACTTCCCAACATCCCTGTAATGGGCAGATTCCATTACCTCACTTTACAGCGATTTTAATTTGTGCAATACATCTTAGGGGAATGTGTGATTTCTCTTAAGCTTGGAAAAATATTTAGGGTATCTCTAGATCCCCACTTCTGATTTGAGAATAATAAGACCATGGTTGGGAAGAAGAACTTATCTGATCCCATATCCTCACATTCATAAATAAGATGGAGCCCCCCAGGAGCTCTGAAGTTGAAATGAAACCATTGAGCCTCTGCTGCTCAGTCCTGTATTGTACCATTTCACCTAGCCAGGTGCAGCTGGGCCTTTCTCCCCTGAGGAGGACTGCTGTGACCTATTCATCCTGCCTTCACTGGTGGACCATCAACTGCCCCATAACTGTCACAAGTATTAGTACAGCTCTGAACATACTGAAAACCATTGAATTATACTTTTCAAATGGATGAATTATATCAATAAAGTCATGTGTATATGCATAAATATATATGAATTAAAACAGCAAACAATTCCAAATTTTCCTTGTTTTGAAGGTACATATACCCAAAATGAGCAACATTCCTTGAATGCAATGAACTGCTCCATCAGCTGCTATGTGTGACTAGAACATACTCATATAACTGATTCCAGATTTCAGATACATCTATAATAGGCTCTAGCATACTGCTTTTGTTTTCTTCTGTTTTTTTGCACTTGCCTTGTCAACATGCAATATTTTTGATGGCTCATAGTTTAAGGACAGCCAGCCATGTTCCTTGCTTTTAAAACACTTTTTAAAACTTATTTATAAATATATATTTTTTATTGATTTCAGAGAAGAAGGGAGAGAGATAGAAATATCAATGATTAGAGAATCATTGATTGACTGTCTCCTGCACGCTCACCCACTGGGGATCGAGCCTGCAACCCAGGCATGTGCCCTTGACCAGAATCGAAACCAGTACCTTTCAGTCTGCAGGCCAACATTCTATCCACTGAGCCAAACCAGCCAGGGCAAAACATTTTTATTTTTTAACGTTTTTTATTGATATCAGAGATGGAGAGAGAGGGAAAGATAGATACATCAATGATGAGAGAGAATCATTGATCGGCTGCCTCCTGCATGCCCCACACTAGGGATGGAGTCCATAACCCAGGCATATGCCCTGACCAGGAATTGAACCTTGACCTCCTGGCTCATAGGTCGATGCTTAACCACTGAGAAACACCAGCTGGGCACCAATAAATTTTATTTTTAAAAAATTTTTTATAGCATCTGTTTCCTTTCAATCACCTACACAACTGTCTTCAGTGTATTCCCACTTATGAACTGTAACAAACAGTATGAAGTAAATTTGGGTGCATAAGCATCATAAAAGATGAAAGAATATTGCTACACCACCCTTTAGCAAAACAGGATGGTCCAGGTTTTTGTCATAAAAATTCTGCGTGATGAAATCCTGTTGAACGACTTCAGTAAATAATGCCTTATGACTTAAAATACCATAGTTCCTTTCTATTTTTAGAAATATGTTGTTCATTCACCAATTCTTGAGAAAATTCATCTAGGAAAGATTTTGCTTACGTGACCAATTTCTTATCTTTAGAGACTAGAGTCCAGCAATGTGCCTCTGCATTCTTTTTCTAATTTGTGTAATAAGTGTGAAATGTCCTCAGTCAACTTTCTTTTCTTGTCATTATGGGTGGGAAATGAAAAGTCCTGAGTTTATTATTTTTTAAAATATATTTTTTATTTCAGAGAGGAAGGGAAAAGGAGAGATAGAAACATCAATGATGAGAATTATTGTCTGCCTCCTGCACGCCCCCTACTGGGGATGGAGCCCGCAACCCCGGTATTCCTTGACTGGAATCGAACCCAGACCCTTCAGTCTGGAGGCCAACACTCTATCCACTGAGCCAAACCAGCTAGGGCTGAATTCTTAATTGATGTCTCTAGACTTCTTTGATACCTTTTTAAAAGATGACAACCAATACTTTGGGCAATGTAATATGGAAACTGAAAGATGATGTAATAGTGATTTATTTCATTGCATCTTTTAGGCAATACCATCATTCTTCCATTTTTTTACCATCTTAGTCTTGTTTGACATAGTTGGGAATAATTGACGAGTAATATGATAATTTCTATTATGAAATAAAGTTTTTCAAGATACAGAAAAATTAAGTTCATCAAGATCTCAATGTATTTTAGATTTATGCAAGAATCCAACTATTCCATATGGTGATTGTAAGAGAGAATGAATTTTATCCTAGTGTTTTAAAATAAATTTCCCCATTGTTCCTTGGAAGCCCACTAAAAAAGAACAGTCATAAAATTCTAATCCTTACAAATAATTAGAACTGCTCGGGAAGAAACTAAAAACTGAATTTGGCTCAGAGTTAAGTCTTTGTCTGGCATACCTCACGGCCAAGGGGCCATGCTCAGGGTTCATGCTCTCATCTTGTCTGGCTGCAGGGAGTGGTGGGAGTGGGGAAGCTGTGGGTTAGGAGCAAGGGAGACATTCCACAAAAGGACTAGTTAGACTGAGAGACCAAAGTAATAGGTATAACTATAGTAGTCCTAGGAAATGAGGGGTATCAACTTTTGCTTGTGTTCCTGTGAGCCTCACTCACTAGGGACATGAATAATGCCTCTCTTCATTCAAGGAGGCCCCTAAGGACGAACAAAATTCTATCAGGATGGGATTTTCCTCTGTGGAAATGATGTGTCTCCTACTTCTAAACAGCTGTGCTTCATTCATATGTGCAACACCCACATTCTCAGATTAGCAGAGCCTGGATGTGGCTGCGTGGAGAGAGCAGGCTTTGGAGATAGCTGGATGCAGGTTGGAATCTTGGCTCTGCCACCACTTATCAGCTCAGTGACTTTAGTAAGCAAGTCACTTACAACTGAGTCTGTAAATGTGGGGTAGGCAATAGTACCAACTCATAGGCATTGCGAGGTAGAAAACAGCAAAAACTTTGATTTAATGTATTCAATGGGAGGCCTTGTTCTGGGCACTGGGGGACACAGATGAAGCTGACACCTTTCCTGCCTCAAAGGGCATCCCTTGGGTGTCGGGAGACAAAGGCCTGGCCATATGTCAGGTGATAGAATTGGGGCAGATAAGGGACACGAGGAGAGAGTGGTAAACTCGGGAGATGGAGGGTATCAGGTCTGCCCAAGCAGACAGCAGGAAGGGGCATCAGCACTTGCATGAAAGGGCATAGGGAACGCGAATGGTCATCGTGGGGGAAGTGGTGCAGTCTGCTTGGCACACAGGAGGTGCCCAGCCCAGGTGAGGGAGAGCTTGCCCTGGATTTGCCCCTCTCATTTCCACTTGGGCATCTGACGGGATAGGCAAATAATAGTGCTTTCTTTGTCCTGGATGTTATCCCTGGGGTGGGGGCAGGCGGGCTGTGAGGAACTGGGCCTCCCCCTACACCCCCTTCCCCTCTGCCATTATCAGCTGTGTCCAGATGGTCACAGGCTCCCTAATCAGGGATAATCAGAAGGTAGGAGCTCAGCTGTGACCTGGGCCTTTGTGCTGGGCTGTAAAGGGCCAGACCCAGCTGGAAAGATCTCCCAGACGGGGCCCTGGGGCTTTGGAAGATGGGAGGGGCGTGGGGCTAGCCCTGTGCTGGAGGAGTTGCAGGAGCCTATGATAGATTTTTAAAAGGCAATCTGGGTGCAAATGAGGGGAGCCTCAGATGGGGTCTGGCTAGGTCCTCTGTCCTCTGGGCCTTAGAAACAGGCACAGAACCTGCACAGATTCCCTTTGTGGCGTCTTTCATTCCCTCTCTCATCACCCCTTCCTATCCAGCAGTTCTGTGTTGCTTTTTCTAGAGCCCAGGCTAACCCAGGTGCTTAGTCACATCAGGGGTTTGTGCCCCCTGTTGATGCTGGGGATGCTGGAGGTCCAGATGCAGCCTGGCTGGGTTCTCGAAGGCCCGTGGCTCTGGCACCCATCACCCAGCTGCAAGCTTCGGACCCCAAGGCCATTTGGGTTTCTGTTTTGTTTCAGTTTCTTTCACGAGTGGAGCACCTCGGCCCTGGCCTCTAGCAGTGAGCCTGGATTGGAATCCTGTTTTTAAGGCCTTTATCCCTCAGAGCCTGAGCCCCAGAGCTCAAACTTCTGCCTTCCTTGGGGTTTTACAATTCTGTTGTTTCTGATCCTTGGACATGTTTGCTTACTTTTACACCTATGTCTTTGTCTTTTTCGTTGTCTGGGCTCTAATATTGTCTGTCTCTGCTAGGTGTTCAAATTTGAGAGGGTTGTTTTCCTGACCAGAAATGTCTCATTGATTCTGTAGCTTCATGAAATACAGATATTAATAATTAGCTCACTAAAAGTTAAAAGTGTTGATAATCTCAAGTTGAAGGATAGTGATTACCTCAGAGGACTATGGGAAGGGAATGGGTTCGGGAATAGACACCAGAGCCTACAAAGGCATTTCTAACATTCTACTTCTTTTTTTGTTTTTATGTAGACTAAAAAAATTTTTTTAATCGAACCTGCCACCTTTTGGTGTATGGGACAACGTTCTAACCAACTGAGCCCCATGAGCTAGGGCTGTGACAGGTTATTTCCTAAGCTAGGTGGTAGGAAGGTAGATGTTTTATTATTATTATTAAACTGCACAAAAATATATATTCTTTTATGCATGGAATATTTCATAATATTTTAAATTATGTCCACACTGCTATTATGAAAGTAAATGAAGTAACATGTAGGTGCTTTGTAAAGAGTCAAAACAAGGAGCAGATACTTCTCCAGGCAAAGCAGGCATGAGCTGGAACACAGACCCAACCTTTGAATGACGTTTTATTTCTACAAGAAAGGGGGCAATAAGTTAAGGGGCTATTTACATGGTGGTTCCATGAGGAAAGCAGAGTGGTGAGCCCGAGTTCTCCCTTCTCTCTCTGCTCCTGGCTCAGGTTGTCCAAATCTGAGTCACCTGCCCAGGCTCTGGACAATGGTGACGCAGCCGTGGGAGCTGGTGCAGCGCTGCAGGGACGGCTGGGCCTCCACTTGCCCACTGCTGGGGTCAAAGGTGAAGACCCTGTCGGTGCTTTCCCCGTGATCATCTCGCCCACCAGTGATGTGGACCTTCCCATCACACACAGTCACGCCACAGCTCTCCTGGGTGTACAAATAGAAAGACAGTCAGCTATGGGGTCCAGCCTGGGGCTCACTTTGTCCCTAGCTGGCCAGGCCAGGCAACAAAACCTTGACCCACAGAATGTGAGCAAGCAGTGTGAATGTTAGAGAGACCAGAAATTGGATGGAAGGCAGAAAGCTCTGGCTTGACCCTTACTAAATGACTACTGGACAAGTCCCTTAACCTCTCTGGGCCTCAGTTTCCTTATCTGCAAAGTGAGAACAGTCGTACCTTCCTTAGGTTCCCTTAACAGTTAATGGGGTTAAGCGTGTAAAGTATTTTACATAGTGCCTGCAGCACAGCAAGCACTCCAGTAACAATAATAATAATTAACACCATCACCATCTTAGGATCTCAAACTTAGAGAAGCCAGAAGTCTCAGGCTCTTAGGATCACTAAAGGTCATAACCAGCTGGGACTACCAGTGTAACCACACCCCTCTACAGTCTCTGGAGTTTCAGGAGGTGACAAAAGGTGGGAGAGGCAAGGTATACAGGGGCCAGAGCATCCATCCAGGGCCCGGGCCTCCCTTCTCTGATACCACTGGGGCAGGGGAACTTAGCAAGGTCCTTCTCCATGCTCCCCGCTCCCATCTCTTCAGTAGGCTACCAGCTAGTGACCTTCAGGACAGGAGAGAGTGCAAGGTCACTTAGACCAAATTTCCCACCCAAGGCTACAGCACTTGGGACTGGGGTTCCAGGCTCATTTGTGAAAGGCAAGGCTGGTTTTCATTGTGAGGGCAAAGCTAGAGAACCGTGTAGAACCACCTAGCATGGAATGAGACACAAGACTCACTATCTCTAAGATGCAGATCCTTAGAAATGGGTCTTCCCTCTCCTCAGTGGAACCAGTGTCAGGGCCATGCCTAGGATCCTCTACTTACCACGGGGCTGGGGAGGACGGCTGCCTCCCCCCAGACATCTGTACCAGGGTGGTAGGTGTAGATTTTGCTCATGAGGCCTCCCACCACATAGATGGTGTCCTCGAGGGAGACAGCCTCAAGACATCGCTGAGAGAAGGGTGCTGGTGACTGCAGGCTCCACCTGTCCTCCTTGGGGTCAAAGCACTGCACCTGGAAGGCAGGAGGTTTGGCAGTGGTGAAGCTTCACCCCCCCACCTGCCCTGCTGCCCATGCACTCCCACTTCTCTCCGTCAGGGGGACTCATTCAGCACAATATTTGCCTCAGCTAGTGTCTGGGAGGTTAGAGAAAACCCATTATCCCTGCCCTCAAATCTAGTTCCACCTTCTTTCTCCTACCCCTGGACTCCCTGTGTTGAAAACATCTTCATCTTTCAAGGTCCAAGGAGGTCTCCATTCCAGGACATGGAGATGCCGCCTGCATTAGTGCTATAGAAGTTCTTAGAGCAGGTCCCCCATGGAGATGTGTTCCTGGCTGCATGCACTGTCAGTCAATCCTCATCCTTCTTCCTGGTGCTATGAGGTCATGACCAGATTCCAGCTGGGGTGTCTTGCAGCTCATTACTACAGCTGTCCACATGCCTCCCAGTCCTACAGGTGTTTAAGACACCTTTCACAATTTCTGAGGGCTTGTACTGTAGCTGCCTGCTCACCGTTACTCCGTTTCATTGTTTCTTTGGAGACCCCCAGAATGGCCTAAAACAAGTCAGTGCTGCATGAGAGGGTACTGGGTACTAAATGGGCAGTTCAGCCAACCCCAGGAAGGTGCTGGGAAAATGGGGTCAGGGGATAAGGAAAGACGAGTGATCCTAGCTGGGGAAGATTCAAATCCCAGACCACAGCCTGTGAGGCCATCTGGGGAAGGAGAGAGCTGACATTATGAAGATTAATTTTTATTCATAAAAACTAAATGAGTTTAGTAGACTATAGCTCATCCGCCCAGTGGCCTATTACACAGTTACTGATGTGATGGCTTAGACGAGTTGCTAAGCATGTGGAAAGTACATTCTGCTTCTTACTCTTACATAAATAAAAAGCAGAATGCGAAATTTTACTAACAATAAGAATGCACCAGCCAGTGTGACTTAGTGGTTGAGCATTGATTCATAAACCAAGAAGTCACTGGTTCAATTCCTAGTTGGGGTACATGCCAGGGTTGTGGGCTCCATCCCCAGTCGGGTGCGTGCAGGAGACAGCCAATCGATGATTCTCTCTCATCAATGTTTCTATCTATCCCTCTCCTTTTCTGTCTAAAGTCAGTAATTAAAAAAACAAACCAATAGCCCTAACCGGTTTGGCTCAGTGGATAAAGCATCAGCCTGCGGACACAAGGGTCCCAGGTTCGATTCCGGTCAAGGGCATGTACCTTGGTTGCGGACACATACCCAGTAGGGAGTATGCAGGAGGCAGCTGATCAATGTTTCTCTCTCATCGATGTTTCTAACTCTCTATCCCTCTCCCTTCCTCTCTGTAAAAAAATCAATAAAATATATTTTAAAAAACAAAACAAAAAAACACACGAATAAACAACACCAACAGTAAGAAGGCAAAACGAGAACAGAAAATCAAGTCAATTTAGAGGAAGCCGGGAGGCAATGCACCATAATATTAAATAGTAGTTACTATCCTTAGGTGGGGGAATTATGGGTGATTTTTTTCCTGTTTCCGGTTTTCTACATTTTTCAATAATGAGTATTATATTTTTGAATGGCACAAAAACTTCTTTTTAAAAAAATATGTGTTTATTGGTTTCAGAGAGAGAGGCAGGGAGAGGGAGATAGAAACATCAATGATGAGAGAGAACCATCGATTTGCTGCCTCCTGCATGCTCCCCACTGGGGATCGAGCCCACGATCCAGGCATGTGCCCTGATTGGGAATCGAAGTGCGACCCCCTGGCTCATAGGTCGATGCTCAACCACTGAGCCACATCAGACACGCTTGCAGAAAAACATTTTAATTAATCCCACTCTTGCCCTCACTTAATTTTTTAAAATCTCACCCAAGGATATGTTTGTTTATTTTAGAGAGAGAGGAAGGGAGATAGAGAGAAACCTTGATCTTGTTTCTTCTGTAGGTGCCCAGACTGGGAATCGAACCTACTACCTTTTTGGTGTGTGTGTGGGAGGGCCCTCCAACTAACAGACACCTGGCCGAGCACCCCCACTTAATTTTTTAATCTATAAAACCATATGGCACCGCCGAAACCGGTTTGGCTCAGTGGATAGAGCGTCGGCCTGTGGACTGAAAGGTCCCAGGTTCGATTCTGGTCAAGGGCATGTACCTTGGTTGCGGGCACATCCCCAACAGGGGGTGTGCAGGAGGCAGCTGATCGATGTTTCTCTCTCATCGATGTTTCTAACTCTCTGTCCCTCTCCCTTCCTCTCTGTAAAAAATCAATAAAATATATATTTAAAAAAACAACAACACCATATGGCACCAAGCAGCCCAAACATTCAGGCCTAGCTGTGCTGCTGACCCAGTGTGTGACCTCAAACATAGCTTACTCCTCAGGGCCGTTGATGGGATTAAGAAAATGGATGAGGACCGGAAAGTGCCAACTCAATGCCAACACATAACAGGCTTCCAGTATCCTATCCACGCCCACCTTGTCTGTGCTGATGTTGTCCTGCCTGGCACCCCCAATCACGTAGAGCCGGCCAGCACAGGGCACCACCGCTGCCGAGCTCACAGCCTCCAGGAGCGGCTCCACGGACTCCCACGTGTTGGAGAAGGGGTCGTAGCGCTCCACGCTGTGCAGGCGCCGTAGTCCATCAAAGCCACCCACCACGAACAGCTATGTGTGAGGACAAGGGGGTCCCCCCACTGGAGTCAGGGCTGGCTCCGGCTGTGTGCCAGAAGCTATCCCACCCCAGCAAAAGGGCCCGGGCGAACCCCCATGCTACCACCACCCAGTGACAACCTCGTTTAGCAGATTTCCTGTCACTCGCCCCATGGGGATAATGAGATCCATCTCTAGAATGGGTCCTGCATGTAGAATTGATCTGTAAAATACTCGACACCAAGCTAATGCTTAAATAATAGCTGGCAATTAAGGGTTTACTGCCTTAAATGAGTCTAAGAAGCACTTTTATTTGCATTTCTGAGTTGGAGATGTAGCTTACAAAGATAACTGGCAGAGAGAGAGAGTGTGTGTGTGTGTGTGTGTGTGTGTGTGTGTGTGTGTGTGTGTTTTGGTCTTAAGTGGCAGAGTCAAGATTCAAACCTAGGCTATTTGGCCCCAGAACCCACATCCTAGGCTGTAGGCTATACTATTACAGTAATTAACTATTAGCATTAGTATTTTGATGTGACTTTGAGCAAGTCCCTTTCTATTTTGAGACTTTAGAGCCCTTACAGAGAGAGAGAGGGTCTTAGAGAGGGCCTTCTCTAAGGACATCTATAGATCTATACCCTGGGCCCCAGCAGCAGCAGCTGCTGCATGTCCCTACCTGTCCATGCAAGACCACCATCTTGTGCCTCCACCTGCCCTTGTGCAATGAGGCCACCTTGATCCAGGTGTGCAGATGGGAGCTCAACATCCACACATCATGGCTGTTGATGTGGCCTCCTGGGGAGAGAGAAGCAGCTATTGCCCCCAGATCCAGAGGAAGAGTTAAGGGTAAACGTCAAGAAGGACTTTCTCCTGAGCTGGTGTGACCCAGACCGTGTGCTTTGAATGAGTGGTGGCAAAGTCTGAGTTGGGACAACAGGCATAGACTTTTGAGGGGAGAGGCCTGAGGGATTCAGGGAGAAGGAACTCATCTTCACTTGGTACATTGTGGTGGTGTGCCACGCTCTGCTCAGGGAAGCAAAGGGGGCACTTTAGAAGTCTACTGAAGGTACCCAAGGCAAGAATCAGGAGTACACTGGGGCAGAGAAAGCAGAGCCACCGACACAGGATGGGGAGGGGTAGAGGGTGACCCCGGGCTTCTGTCTCACTTCTGCCTTCACCTGCATGGCTTCATGTCTGTTTCATCCCTCCATGAGGTGTTGGGATTACTACCTAGTTTACAGATAGGAAACTGGGATGACGCGTAAGAGGCCAGGAATGACTTGCTGAAAATCACTGATCCAAACCAGAGCTTCCAGCCCCCAAGCCCAACACTGGTATTAGTGAAGGACACAGCACGCTCCGGGGGTGGGGGTGGGGGGCAGGGCAGGCACCGAGGGTGCAGGCTGTGGACTCTTCCTCCCTGGCTAGCATGGGGTTCCTGACCAGCGACTCACCTCTTAGGAGTAGCTTCCCCAGGGACAATTCTGACCGCCCCCCCCCAGCCTGAGCCACACCTCTGTTTTGTAGCCCTTGCCTCTGTATTTCCAGTGGCCTTGGATAAGCTGTCCAGTGATAAAGTCCTACAACATCAAGTGCAGTCTGCCTAGGCCTGGAGTCAAAGTCTCCCTGATCCGACTCCAGACTCCCATTCCTCCCTCACCTACAATGGCTTCCCCTCCTCTAACAGATACACTGAACCTGCACTTCAGAGCCCTGAGTACCGGGGGTTCCTTTCTGCACATTTCTGCCTTCATGCCGTTGCCTGTGCTGTTCCCTTCAGATTCCCTGAGTAGGATTCCAGCTCATTTGGGGTCTCTGAGAGTTCCCATCAAATTCAGCCTGGTCATAAAGGGAAGTCCATTTTTCCCTCTCCAGGGTACATCAGGGTAGCAGGAACTGTGTTTTATCATCTGAGTCTCTAGGGCCTGAATCTCAGGAAAGGCACAGTCTGTTGGTATCAAAGCTCCTAGCTTTGTCAATTTTGTGACAATAGGGAAATTCTTAACCTCTCTGAGCCTGTTTTCTCATCTGTGAAATGGGACTGTAGAGAGAATTAATTAATGTAAGCCTCTTAACATAATGCCTAATAAGAAGTGATTAATATGAGTTGAAGCTGACTTTACTGAATAAAGGGTGGAGTCACACCAGTGATTGGCTGTGCAGGACTACATACCATTTCAGCCAAAACTAGGTTATCAGGAAAAATCCCACCCCAATCTCCAGGTTGGTGGGAAAAAAGGGGCAGTGCTCAGGAGCCATGAGCCAATCCTGTGGGGCTCCCAATGCGGCCCTGCTCTCACCTGAGACATAGATGTCATTGCGGAGAGTACAGGCAGCGAACTCTGAGCGCATGTAGCCAGGCAGGCTGGGCAGTGGGGTCCAGCGCTGGCTTTCTGGGTGGTAGGCGTCGGCGAAGGGCAACCTCATAAGTCCCTTGCGGTCACAACCGCCAATGACCACAATCACTTCAGCTAGGTCCATGAATCTGGCATGGGGATAAGCTCAATATCCATTGATCCGCGCCCAAGTTTCAGCCCTCTCACTGACCACACTGTAGAGTCCTCCTGCCCTTCCTTGTCCTTCTGTCCCTCACCTAATCCCCGAGCTAGACTCCGTCACTTCCAACCTTCCCTCTGGCTATTGATGGGACAAGGATCACCAATCCTTATCCCATTCCACTGACCTCTAAGTTACAGAAAAATCATCTTTACAAAGCCTTTAACCCTACTTAGAAAAATCACCTGGTTTATTCTTTATGACAGTTCTAGTAGGCAGGGATTATTACTCCTTTTACAGAGGAGGAAACTGAGGCTAAAACACTTAGGCTTGCCCAAAGTCACGCAAGCCAGTAAGCAAAAGAGCTGGAATTCAAGCCCAGGTCTGTCTGATGCTAACCCATTCTCCTTCCCCTTTCTGGCCTCCACTCCCTAATTCTGTTGCCTCCCTCCTATAACATCTCCTAAACCCATACCTTAATCACTGAACCAGGCTACATACCCTCCCACTGACCCCTCAGACTTCTGACCCCACCAGGATTCCCAAACTCTTTAACCATTGGTTTCCTGCCTAATTCCTATGACAAATAATGAGCATCTTTGTACTAGGCCCTGTGCTTAGTGTTGGAAATACAGTGGTAAGAGAGTGGACTTCCTTGTCTTCTATTTTGGACTACTCCACCCGTCTCCTGGCCTGGTGTTCCAGGCCCTGCCTACTTATATCCCACGTTTAAGGTGTTTTCAAATCACTCTTGAGTCCCAGGGACCCAGCACAAGACTTGCACAAAGGGAACACTCAGAATTATAGACAGATGGGCAAGAGAAAAGTGCATTAGGTGTGAGACCCCTGCACCTCCCCATTGGCTGTTAACTCTACAAGGGCAGAATGCCCCACACCAAGCCCATGGGACGTTTGTTGAATGAATGAGTGAATTTCATGCAAGAGGCATGATTGAAGGATGAATTAAAGAATGACGGAGGAATGAGTGAGTGGTTGAATGTGGGGGTGGGGGGGGTGGTACCTCCGTGGCCGCGTACGCAGCCCACCGGCCTCCCGGCCCAGGATGAAGCAGGCCCGGGCCTCGAGGAGCAGCGGGCGGCACTCGCAGCAGGCCCGCAGCAGCTCGTCCGCCTCCACCTTCTCCAGGAAGTAGTCGGGCGCCAGCAGGGGCAGGCGCACGTGCTCCAGCAGCGCCGCGAGTTGCCCGCGTCGGGCCGGCGCGTCGTGACGCACCCAGCGCATGGCCGCCTCGAACACGGGCTTCCTCGCGCGGCCACGCCCAGCGCCCGGGTTCGCCAGCAGCGCGACCACGTCCTCGGGCGCCAGCTCCAGGAAGTCGGCGTGGCGCACCGCTTCTGTGAAGCCCTGGCGCCGCCCGCGGCCGCAGCGCCCCGCCAGGGAGGGGGGCGGGAAGGCGGCGGGCACGTGGCGCAGCGCCCGGCTGTCGGCGGCGCGGAGGCTGCCCTCGAGGAAGCGCGCGCAGGCCTCGCGCAGGCCCGCCTCGTCCTCGGCGCGCAGCTGCCCGCCTGAACCGAACACGTAGTCGTAGTCGAGCGCCACAGCCAGCGCTGCTGCCGCCCTGGTTCGCCCGGCGCCCAGCATCTCGGGCACCACGGCCTGACCGAGCTCTGGCTGCCCGGCTGCGAAGAGGCTGCAGAAGTGGGCACTGCCCGTGCCAAGCGCAGCTCGGTGGCTCGGGAAGTCGTGGCCGCCAGCGCGCAGCACCGCGTCGGTGAGGGTGCCGCTCCCACGGTAGGCGTTGAGGGTCTGCAGGACGCGCTGCGTGTGGCAAGACCCTGAGCAGGGCGCCTCAGCGCCTGGCTCTGACTCCTCCAGCGAGGGGCCCTCTAGCATCCTGCTGGGTAGAGAACAACACAAATAGCGTGGGAAAGGCCACCTTGGCTGGGGCCAAATCGAGGGCAGGAGGCCCATGGTCACAGGTAGGCATGAAAGTAAGTAGTGTGCGTTCTTTCTTTCATTCAACTGCTCTTCCTTCCACTCTCCCATCCAGATTCCTAATGGCTGGCTGCAAGGATCCAGCAGTCTCTGCCTACTTGAGGGGCAGCTCCTGCCTTAGCTGTTGCACCTTCTCCGTCACGTACTCACTTAAGCCAAATTGCCCTTACTGCGCTTCAAATTCGCCACGCTGTTTTCTGTTAGTATCGATAGAACACAGCTGGCACGCTTTCATTTGGGTAATTTGAGAAGGGTCTAATAAAGGAATGGTCTCAAAAGTGTAGAAAGTATTTAGGGACTACCACAGGGACGCAGCAGTGCCACGTGGCTACCAACTCCAGAGAGTTCTTACCTCTCCCACGGTTTGAAGGGCTGGGAACCTGTACAAAATATCTGAACAGGGAAGGGCCCCTTACAGGAGCTGTATGTAGCCTTTGGTCCAGGAATTCAGGCTACCCCACAGAGACCCAGTGTATGTGGAGGGGTACAACTCTGCCTCCCTCTCCTCACCCCATCTTGTCTCCTGCCCATCTCCTGTAGGGGCCCCTTCCCCAGCACCATCGGATCGGGCCCATAGCAGGTGCTCAGTGCCTGTTCAAGGTCAAGTGTAGTATTAAACAAGTATGTATGGAGAACTTTTTCTCTGCCAGGCAGTGAGCAAGGCAGTCATGGCTCCTGCACTCGGGAGCTTATAACTTGGTGGTGGTGTGGTGGCATTCCCACGGGAAGTACAGAATATTAGGGGAACTCTTAGAACAGCGGTTCTCAACCTTGGCTGCACATTAGAATCACCTGGGAATCTTTTTAAAATCCTGACTTCTGTCCTAGCCGGTTTAGCTCAGTGGATAGAGCATCAGCCTGCGGACTGAAGGGTCCCAGGTTCGATTCTGGCCAAGGGCACATGCCTGGGTTGTGGGCTTGATCCCCAGTAGGGGACGTGCAGGAGGCAGCTGATCAATGATTCTCTCTCATCATTGATGTTTCTATCTCTCTCTCCCTCTCCCTTCCTCTCTGAAATCAATAAAGAAATATATATATATATATATTTTTTTTAAAATCCTGATTTCTGGGCCTCATCCTCTGGAAATTTTGTTTCTTTGTTATGGGGTGGGGCCACAACATTAGTAACAAACAGAATTTCCCAAGGATGAGGCCCAGAAATCAGGATTTTAAAAAGATTCCCAGGTGATTCTAATGTGCAGCCAAGGTTGAGAACCACTGTCGTAGGGCAATAGGGCTGTTTGGGAAGTGCACCTGTACTTACTCATTCTACAGCTCATCTGCTCTGGGCACTGTGGACACACGGGGACCTCAGACACAGTTTCCACCTGGGGATTCCCATTCTGGGAGCTGAAGGGCACCCAGTTGGAACATTCTCCCATCCAGCGAAGAGTCTAGGCATCTCAAGCTATAGGTCCTGATGCAGACTGAGGCACCCAGCCCCTAAAAGTTGACATGCCACCCTGCCTCTTTTTCACGCCCACACCCACCCATACAAACATGCTTAGATTTGTAGACACCACACAGTTAGGGCAGCCCTGTGTCCTAAGCACTTACCTGGCCATGCCCTCTCCCTGAAGGTGCCCTGAAGCTGCTGTTCTTGCACGGACCACTCCTGTCTGTCCTGCCGCCTGAACCCCTGGCAGCCTGGGCTCCAGTGTCTCTGCTGCGCTGCCTAGACTGCCACTCAGGCTCAGCTGCGGGAGGACAAAGGGGCTGGACGCCAGGGGGAGGGGAAAAGAGGGTGGAGGGAAAGAGGGGACGCTGGGCTTTTGTTCCACTCACTCTTGGACAGCCCTGGAAGGGAGGAAAAGGGGGAGGAGGGAGGAATGAGCATGCGATTGACTATGTGCAACTCCGGGATCCGTGTGCCTGGATTGGAGTGGCTTGGCACTGACTGCGCCTGAATGATGCACAGGTGTGAGGGTGGGTGCCTCTCCTGGGAGATGGTGTATAGCCTGTGGTGGTGAGCTTTCAGGTGTTCCAGGGTACTTGTATGAGACTGGGAGAGAATGTGGGGCTCAGCAGCCGCATAGCATTGGGGTGAGTGTAACCTTGTAGCTAGGTGTGACTAAGAATGTGACTTTGTGGCTCGAAGGTCTAGCTTTCCTTCCTGCGGTGTGACTGTGCCATGTCTGTATTCCTGCTGATAGCCGACGTCATTGTGGGACCATGCATCTGGTTATATGCCTTGTGTTTCCCTATCTCTTTGTGTCTCTGTGTGATTGTTCATTTCTGTGTGTGATGAGTGCATCTCTGTGGACAATGTGTGCATGACAGGGGTCCCTGTCCGTGGACCGTGTCATGCATGTGAACATCCTGTGGTCCTCTGTGATACGGTATGAGTTGAGGTTTTCACTCAAGAATGTACCTACCTTGGAAGGGGTACAGTAGGACTGGCATGGTGGTTTTGGACAGACCTGGTTGGGGTGGAGAGGAGGAGGCAGCTGTGGGCTGGGCTGGCCTCCTGGAGCCAGAGGGAAGCGACTCCATAGACGGATGCCAGATCATTTGCTGCCTCTACAAAGGGCCCCAAGGCCTGGTGTCCATGGGGTGGATGAACAGATTTAGCTTCACGGAAAAGGACAGCAATTTGGAAGGAGGTTGCCTTGACTAGAGCACCAATGGGCCTGGGGCACCTGTGGTCTGTCCTGGCGTTGCCATGATATGTCCTAAAGCCCTAGACCAGCCCCGCCTTTGGCTGGTCTTTCATCTTGACAGGAGGGATACTCCAGATTCCAGCTTTTTTTTTACAAAAAGCCTTATGCCATGAGGAGTCATTGAGGCCGGGTGTTGCAGGAACCTGCTCTGGCCAGGCTTAGGCGGCCCAGTCTGATAGGAGGGGTCACTGTGACGGTGGCCAGGTATGTGTCCTGAGGCCTTGGAGAGAGTGTTCCGAGGAGGACCCTGCTGCAGGGAATGAGGTACCCCCTTCCGCCTAAAAATAGGGTGGTATGTGTTACTCTTTGTTAAAGGATGTGAGAGATCCAGGCACTTTTTAAGAACGTTATTCTTTATTCCCATCCTCCACCCCCTCCTCATTGGCAAACATCAGCTTGTTCTCTATATCTGTGGGTCTATTTCTGTTTTGTTTATTTTATTTGTTTTTGGTTGTGTGTTTTTTTAAGATTCCACATATAAGGGAAATTATACAGTTTTTGTATTTCTCTGTCTGACTTATTTCACATAACATAATCCATCCATGTTGTCGCAAATGGCAAACTTTATTCTTGTTTATTGCTGAGTAATATTCCATGTATATATGTACCACATTTTCTTTATTCATCGATTGATGGACACTTAGTTTGCTTCCATAGCTTGGCTATTACTACTAATGCTGCAGTGAACATAGGGGTGAATATATCTTTTCAAATTAGAATTCTTTTTGTTTTCTTCCAATAAATACCTAGAAATGGATTTGCTGGATTGTATGGAAGTTCTTTTTAAAAAATTTTGAGGACCCTCCATGCTGTTTTCCATAGTGGCTGCACTAATTTAAAATCCCACCAGCAGTGAATAAGGGTTCCCTTTTCTCCATGTCCTTGCCAACACTTATTATTTGTTATTTATTGATGATAGCTATTCTGACAGGTGTGAAGTGATATCTCATTTTAAATTTGCATTTCGCTGATGATTTGTGATCTTGAGCATTTTTTCATATGACAGTTGGCCATCTGTAGGTTCTCTGCCCATTTTTAAATCAGTTTGTGTGTGTGTGTGTGTGTGTGTGTGTGTGTGTGTGTGTGTTTGTGTTGTATGAGTTTCTTATATATTTTGGATATTAACTCCTTATCAAAAGTGTCATTTGGGAAGATCTACCATTAAGTGGGTTGTCTTTTTGTTTTGTTGATGGTTTCCTTTGTTGTGCAAAAACTTTTAAGTTTGATGTAGCCCCATTATTTTTTTCTGTTGTTGCCCTTACCCAAGAAGACATATCCAAAAAGACATTGCTCAGAGTAATGTCAAAGAGTTTACTGCCTATTATGTTTTCTTCTAGGACTTTTATGGTTTTAGGTCTTACATTTAGACTTTAATCCATTTTGAGTTAATTTTTGTATATGGTCTAAGAAAGTGATCTAATCTCTTTTTGCATGTATCCAGTTTTCCCAACACCATTTGTTTTTATCCTATTGCATATTCTTGCCTCCTTGTCATAGATTACTGATCATGTAGGTGTGCTTTTATTTCTGGACTCTCTATTCTGTTTCATTGACCTTTGTGTCTGTTTATATTCCAGTATCATGCTGTTTTGATTAGGATAGCCTTGTAATATACATAATTTGATACCAAGTAGCATGATACCTCCAAGTTCGTTGTTCTTTCTCAAGATTTATTTGGCTCTCCAGGGTCTTTTGTGGTTCCTTACGCATTTTAGGGTTATTTGTTTAGTTCTGTGTAAAATGCCATTAGTATTTTGATAGGCGTTGCATTGAATCTGTAGATTGCTCTGCTTAGTATGGACATTTTAATACCAATCTTCCTATCCATGAGCAAGGTGTATCCTTTCATTTATTTGTGTATTCTTCAGTTTCTTTCTTCAGTGTCTTACAGTTTTCAGAAATAATTCCTTTATCTTTTTTATTAAATTTATTCCTAGGTATTTTTTTTATTCAATTGTAAAAGGCATTTTTTTTCTTTTGAATAGTTCATTATTGGTGTATAAAAATGCAACCCATTTCTGAATGTTAATTTTGTATCCTGTTACTTTATTGAATTCATTTATTAGTTCTAATAGTTTTTTTGGTAGAATCTTTAAGGTTTTCTTTATATAGTATTATGCCATTTGCAGCTAATGAGAGTTTTACTTCTTCCTTTTCAATTTGGATGCCTTTTATTTCTTTTTCTTATCTGATTACTGAGGCTAGGACTTTTTATACTATGTTGAATAAAACTGGTGGAAGTGGACAACCTTGTCTTGTTCCTGATTTTAAAGAAAAAGCTTTCAGTTTTATGCTATTGAGTATGATGTTAGTTGTGGGTTTGTCGTATATGACCTTTATTATGTTGAGGTATGTTCCCATTGTCCCTACTTTGCTGGGAATTTATATTAAAAATGGATGTTGGACTTTGTCAAATGCTTTTTTTTTGCACCTATTGATATTATCATGTGATTTTTCTCCTTCAGTTTGTTTATGTGGTGTATTACGTTAATTGATTTGCAGATAACGAACCAGCCTTGTATCCTGGGAATAAATTCCACTTGACCAGGATGTATGATCTTTTTAATGTACTGCTGAATTTGGTTTGCTAATATTTTGTTGAGGATTTTTGCATCTATGTTCATCAGGGATATTGGCCAAAATTTTTCTTTCTTTGTATTGTCTTTTTCTAATACTGGTATCAGTAATGCTTGCCTCATAAAGTGAATTTTTGAGCCTTCCCTCCTCTTCAATTTTTTTGGAGTTATTTGAAAAGGATAGATATTAATTCTTCTTTGAATGTTTGGTAAAATTTACCTGTGAAACCATCTGGTCCAGGGCTTTTGTTTGTTGGGAGTTTTTTTTTTAAATGACAGATTCTATTTCATTAGAAGTTGGTCTGTTTGGATTTTATGTTTCTTCATCATTCTGTTTTGGAAGAGTGTATGTTCCTAGGAATTTATTCATTTCTTCTAGGTTGTCTAATTTGTTGGCATATGATTGTAGTATTTTCTTTCAATTCTTAGTATTTCTATGGTTCAGTTGTCACTTCTCTCTCATTTCTGAATTTATTTATTTGGGCCCTCTCTCTTTTTTTCTTTATGAGTCTGGCTAAAGGTTTATCAAATTTGGTTATCTTTTCAAAGAGCCAGCTCTTAGTTTCATTGATCTTTTTTTATTTTAATTTTAGTCTCTATTTTGTTTATTTCCATTCTGATCTCTTTTTTGAAAATATATTTTTATTTATTTCAGAGAGGAATGGAGAGGGAGAGATAGAAACACCAATGATGAGACAGAATCATTGATCAACTGCCTCTTGCATGCCCCCTACTGGGGATCGAACCTGCTGCAACCTGGGCATTTGCCCTTGACTGGAATCGAACCTGGGACCCTTCAGTCCACAGGCCGACGCTCTGTCCACTCAGCCAAACCGGCTAGGGCTCCATTCTGATCTTTATTATTTCCTTCCTTCTACTCTGGGCTTTGCTTGTTTCCCCCCCTAATTCCTTTAGGTGTAAGGTTATATTGTGTATTTGAGATTTTTCTTAATTCTGAGGTAGGCCTTTATTGCTACGAACTTCCCTCTTATGACTGTTTTAGCTGTGACCCATAAATTTTGGGTCATTGTATTTTCTTTTAGCTCAAAGTACCTTTTGATTTAACCCTTGATTTCATTGTTAACCCATTCATTGTTTAATATGTTATTTAGCCTCCACATATTTGTGTGTTTTTCAGTTTTCTTCTTGTAATTGATTTTCAGTTTCATACCATTGGGGTCAGAGAAGGTACTTTCTATGATTTTAATCTTAAATTTATTGAGACTTGTTTTGTGGCCTGACATGTGGTCTATCCTGAAAAACGTTTTCACATTTTCTTATGTGCACTTGAAAAAAATGTGTACTCTGCTGCTTCTGGATGAAATGTTAAAAAAAAATACTACGTCCATCTGGCCTAATTGTCATTTAAGGCCATTGTTTCCTTACTGATTTTACTTTCAGTCTGAATGTGTCTTTTGATTTGAAGTGAGTTTCTTGTAAGCAACATATAGATGGGGCATGGTTTTTTAATCGGTTCAGCATCTTATGTCTTTTTATTGGGGCATTTAGTTCATTTACATCTAATGTAGTTGATATGTATGTACTTATTGCCACTTTGTTAATGGTTGTTTTATTTTTTGTTGTTTTTATAGTCCTTTATTCTTTCTTTTTGTTTGATGCCTTCTGTAGTTTGCTGGGGTTTTTTTTCTTTTTATTGTTGTTAGTATTTTGTTTGGATTCCTTATTGTTATTATTTTTTAATATAGGTTTTTGGTTTGTTACTACCATGAGGTTTATGTATATCATTCTATATCAGTGATGGTGAACCTTTTGAGCTCGGCGTGTCAACATTTTGAAAAACCCTAACTTAACTCTGGTGCCGTGTCACATATAGAAATTTTTTGATATTTGCAACCATAGTAAAACAAAGACTTATATTTTTGATATTTATGTTATATATTTAAATGCCATTTAACAAAGAAAAATCAACCAAAAAAATGAGTTCGCGTGTCACCTCTGACACGCATGTCATAGGTTCACCATCACTGTTATATATCAATAGCAACCTATTTTAAGGCATTTAAATTTAAGTATATTTTTAAGGACTACATTTTTTACAATCGCCTCCATGGTTTATGGTGTGGTGTGTGTGTGTGTGTGTGTGTTTAGAAGGAGAGAGAGGGAGAAATAGAAACATCCATGGTGAGAGAATCATTGACTGGCTGCCTCCTGCATGCCCCACACTGGGGATTGAGCCCGCAACCCAGCCATGTGGTGTGACCGGGAATGGAACTGGAACCTCCTGGTTCATAAGTCGACAGGCTGGTAGGAGCCAGGCAAGTGCATGAGATACATGTGGCACTGGCCTACCAGCCCTGAGCAGCTGCAAGTGGGAGGCAAGTGTGTGTCGTAATGTCCTGGGGGTTGTGCTTGCTGCCTTTGTTTGGAACCACAATGGGCTCAGGTGATGTGTTGGGAACGCACTGCAGCAGCCTTGCAGGTAGGCCCGATTACCTGACTAGAGCCCCACCTGTGCTGTGGGGGTCGAGGGGGATGTAGATAGTTTAACTTGGCCCTCTAGCCCCAGATATTCCCGAGGTTCCTGGAGAACTCCTGTGGCTTCCCAGCCTTCTGTTAGGTCTCGTTCTCATATTTAGTTCATTCAGTCCTCAGTTGTTTGGAGTGATTGCTCTCTGTACATGTGTATACTTGGTTGAGTTCAGCGTCTTCCTATGCCACTGCCATCTTGGACCTCTAGATTGAGGCACCTTTATATCTATCCTTGGGAAGGAGGACCCTGGAGGAAGTAGAGGGAAGGCTCAACCTTGAGGAGGTCTCACCCACTGAGGTCCAAGGGAGGAAGGATGGAGTGGATCTACAGGGGGTGGCAGGGAAGGCCTCTTCGAAGGGCAGGTAGTCAGGTTGTCTTCTGCAGACAAGGGAGGACATCAGGAAGTTGGGGTTCTCAGTAACTCCTTAGGTCAAGGCATAGGAAGCAAGGCATAGGAGGCAGGGTTGACCACGGGCTGTGGGCGTGGGCTCAACTGAGGGTGGAGGCAGGCCAGCCATCTGCCCAAGTAGAGGCTGGCTTCCGTCCTTCCTCCATTGTTTGGGGTGAGAGGAGGAGGTTGGACTGTCTGCATTGGGAGCGGGGGCGGGGGGTGGGGTATGGTGCAGGGCTCTGGTGAGAGTGGGACTCTGGCTCTTCCACCGAGAACTCCTAGCCTGCTCTACCCCCTCCTGGGAACTCCGGGATGTCTCAAGTTGCCCAAGTCTGGCCAGGAGCCTGGGACATCCTGGCCAGGGGCACTGCCTGGACAGGGAGGAGCAGGCATGAAAGGTCAAGGCCACTTTCCTGTTGGGCCTGCCAGAGGCTGGAGAGCAGGCTATTGGGCATTTTGGGTATTACAGTGAACCCCACTCCTGACCCAGCTGTTCCAGGTTTCACTCGTCCTCCCTTGTGCCCACGGAGGGGCAGGAGCTGACCTCTGCTCCAGGAAGGGAAGCACTTGGCAGATGCTCAGTGGAGGAAAGAAGGGGTGAGCCCTTCACAGGTCCTGAGAGGCTGTCTTAGAAGTTAATGTGGGGGGCCCAGCCTGGGTTCCAACGTTTGGGAGGGGTTTCTCTTCCTTTCCTCCAGGAAGGTGGCAGAATTACTCCGACCCCAAGAATTCTACCCAGGAGACCCCTGTTTGGAGAAGAGACACATCCCTTGGTTCCAGAAAGCACCATGTTTATTTAATGCAGGCTGGTGCTAGAGTTCAGCTTCTCCCCTTTCCCCTTAGGACACACCCAAGATCACACAAACTCTTAGGACAAAGATGGGAGTTACAGACCTGCCTCGAGGCCACTGCTGACTCCTTCACGGAGGGCAGAGGTCCAAGGACTGAATGACAGAAAGGGACATCTGTGGACTAAACTGGGCTTTCAACCCAGGCACCCCAATGTGCCAGGAATGGGGTGGGCTGGCTTTGGTCAGGTCCAAATCCTTGAGACTTCCAAGCCACCTTCTGCCATGGTGGAGAGGCATCTGCTGGCTGAAGGTCTGTCCCTCCACAGGTCAGGGAGCTCAGAACACCTCCATGGGGCTGTGAGGGGACCTCCTAGGCCCTTTGCCCACCCTGACATCAGACCCAGGAGCCCTCCCCATCTTCCGTGCTGTTCCTGGTTACAGATGGCATGGGTGGGATTCTCGTGCCACTTGTTCTGTGTGGCCTTGGACGGTCACTTTCTCTCTCCAAGATCGGCCCCAGGCCCTGGGCTGTTAAGGAACCTGCCAGCCTGCCCCTCTCCCGCTGGTTTCTGAGAATGGCTCCTCCTCATGTCATGGGGCCAAGACGGAATCCCAAACTCGGCGAGCTCGGTCCCCATCCTTCCATGGCAGCTTTAACCACTTGGCCAAGCCCCTCCGGCTCCTTCCTCTATAGGCCTCCTTGGCCACACGCCCGCCCCCTGGCCACTTGGCCACACGCCCGCCCCCTGACCACGCCCTGTGCTCACTGTGCCAGCCTCGCTCTCCTGAGCCTGCAGGTCACTCTGCCTTGGAGGCTGTTGGACACTTGGGCAGGGACCAAGCAGCCCTGAGCCTGCTCTTCTGGCCACTTCCAGCTGCTCCTAAGGACGTGGCTTGGGCCCCCTCCTGGGGCAGGGCCGGTGGCGGTGGGGCTGGTCGGAGGAGAATCCCCACGACTGCAGGCTTTCCTCCTGAGGCGAGCCTCCTTGTGCTGTGAGACTGAGGTGAAGAGCAGAGCTGCTGGGGGCAGAGGCCCGGCCCCAGGTCCTTGAGCAGGAGAAACAGAGAAGTCGGCTGCTTCACAGCCCAGACAGGAGGGTGGTCCCACGTGAGCATCCACATCCTCCGTTGCCACAGGGGATAGGGCACGGCCCAGTGGCCCATCAAAGCGTCCAGGATTCCAGGGAGGGTTTCAGGGGAGGACCAGGCCCCACACTTCCCAGAGGAAGGATCCCCAGGCCTGCAGGGGCATCTGGGAGGCGGGAGTCCTGGCCCAGCTGGGCCTGAGCGGGGAGAGGAGCCCCTGCCCCCTAAGAGAGGTCATGGCGGACAAGGGGCTGGAGCCAACGAGGAGGCCATGGCGCCAGCTCCCAGAGCACTCCCAGGCCAGACAAGCTTCTGCCTGCTCTTCTGGGTTCCCGGGTCTCTCCATTAGGCTCAGCCTGGGAAGACAGGGCTTCAGCTAACGCCCACTCCGGTCTGCGAGGGTCTTGGTATGGCTGCCAGTCCCTCGGGGGTCCACTGGGGTGCTGGCGCTGTTGGCATATGTGTCGTAGCTGTTGTCTGAACATACAGAGAGCTCATCGGAGACCTCCATGCCATCGCTGATCTCTGTGGGGCCAGAGGAGGCAGAACATGAGTGGGGGCAAGAGAGGTCAGTGAGAATGGCGGGAAGATGTGGGAGGGTGGCCTGATGAGACCACTGGGTTCAGGTTGGGTGTTGAGATTGGTCTTCAAGGCCCCCTGGTGTCTCCTCTCCCCCGGAACTCTTCCTTCTACAGAAAACCACCCGCATCCAAACCATCTGCTCGACACCCATGTGTTTACTCTCCCCAGGGCCTTTGCACAAACTGGCCCCTCTCCTGGGAGTGACTGCCCCATCAACACCTTCTTTAAAAATCTGGCTCATTCCTCTCATCTGTGTTACTGCCGCCTCCTGACAGCCTCCCTGACCCCCCTCTTCTGGCAGGGATGGGACCTTCTCATGGCCGCCCCCCCACTCCCTCCCACCCCATCACATCCTGTACTGCCCCTGCCTGTGGCCCCCACCAGCTGGAGCACTGCAAGGATAGGGGTGATGTCTGGGCCTCTGTGTCCCCAGTGCCTGGCACAGAGCTGGACACAGCAGAGGCCCAGGGGAAGGTCTGCTGAGCGGAGCTGAGACCTCCCTGAGGGGACTCAGGGTTCCTTGGTGGAGTTGAGGGTCTCTGGAGACGACCTCTCAGCCTGGAGTGAGGACTGTGGTCGACTCCCCTCAGAGCCTGCCTCAGAGGTGCTCAGTGAATGGTCTTTGGCACAGTAGGAGGGGAGGGGGAAGGGGTCTGGGCGGAACCTGCCAGGCCTCCGGATAGGGGCTGGCCTCCTGCCTTCCATTCATGCTCCTCAGCCCTCTGACTTGAGGCCGGGCACAGTGCAGGGGCCTGGGGATCCCAGGTGCCCTGGACTGGCCCCTTCCTCCAGGAGGGGGCTCTCCAGTGTGGCCAGAGGGCTGTGGGACGCCGGGGGGGGGCACTCCAACCTGTCTCGGTGCTCAGGGAAGGCTCCCAGGAGGGTTTTTTTTGAGCAAAGGTAAGCAAGAATGTGTGCCTCCTAAGCACCTGAAACTGTCTGACATTCATCTGTTCGAGAAATGAATCGTAAAGGAGTGAATAGTGAGATGGTCACATGATCCTTGATCCTTGGAGCCAGCCCCACCAAAACCACAGTCACCCCCACTGGGCTCTCGCTCGTCCATGCGTGTTTACCAAGGACCCTCTGGACCGGCGTGGCCACACCCCTCACACGTATCCTTTGGGGTTACCAGCCCACTTACAGACAAGGAGGCTGATGCTGAGGGAGGTTGGACAGTGTGCTCCAGTCCAACTGCTAGTTGGGGATAGAGCTGGGATTTGACTCCAGATCCACCTGGCTCCCAAGTGCTCTGTAAATCCCTGCCTTTCTCTCTGTTCCCACATTCACATCTCTCTCCTGAATTACCAAGATGCATGCTGGGAGGCCGAGGGGAGAGGGCTGGACCAGACCCTTCCCTCGCAGCCCTGCCGACACCTGGATTGTGGACTCCTAGACTCCAGAATTGTGAGACAATAAATTTCTGTTGTTTGAGCCTCCCGCTTCGTGGTACTTTGTTACAGCTCAACTGCAACAACGGCCAAATACAAACCTTCCCACAACCCTCCTCTGCTTCCAGAATGAGGCCCAAGCTCCTGACCAGGCCACCAGGCACCACCTTGGAGTGAGCCAGCCGCGGCCCCGCCACGCCCGCCGTATGGAACGGTGTTTGGTTGCCAGAGCCCTGAGGCAGGGCTCCCTCACTTCCTCTGAACACACCGCTCCTGCCTGGACTGGCCTTCCTGCCCCTGCTCGCTCCGCCCTCAGTGCAGACCCCTCTCCCAGGCCCCTCCTAGCCACCCTTCTGCTTCAGCTAGGTCACTTCCTTGCAAAGTGGGTTCCAAAACCGCCCCTACCGCCCCAGGGAGCTCTGACCACTCTCTGCTCTGTACCCCACTTGGGCTCAGCGCCCTCATCTGTTAGAGCTCTAGTGGCACCCAGTTTCCCGTGTTCTTGCTTATATAGCTGCCTCCTCCTCCATCAGACTGGGAGTGCCGGCCAGCAACAGCAATATTTGGGGTCCCTGTATGAACCGGGCACAGGGGGATAGGCCTTCAGAGCAGACTCTTCCCCTCCACCCCACTCCTGCACATCACCCTTGCCCACCACCCATGACGCTGACATGGCCGTATGTGGAGGGCGTGTGTGTCTGTATGTGTGTGCCTCTGTACGTGTGTGGGCATCTATATGTCCATGCTGTGTGCCTGTCTGTCTGTGCTGTGTGCATGTGTGGGGTGGAGAACTGGGCCCAGGGCCTGTCTCGGGGCTGCCCACCTGAGAAGATGAGCTTCTCCTTCATGATGCTGACGTCCCGGCTGGTCCGGTGCACGGCCGCATTCAGCATGATCTGCTCGGGGTTGTAGCTCCGGATGCCACCCAGGCGCCACCTGCAGAGACGACCCCGCGGATCAGCCCTCCCCACCCATCCCTGGCGCAGGGTCCTGCCCTCTCCCAGAGCCTCTCTGGATCGGGCCTGAGAGACCAGCAGGACTCCTGTCTGACTATCCAGGTGGGGCCCAGCGAGGGCAGAGCTGGAGCTGGAATCAGTCTCCTGACTCTCAGCCAGACCTCTCCTGCCTTCCTCTTACTCCAGACCCAGCTCAGCTCAGCTCCCCGGGCCCAGGATGTTTTGGGTGGGTTAGTTGGTTGGTTCTGTCTCAGGTGCCTCCAGTTATTCACCTGGTTTCTTTGGACGTGATACATGTGGGGTGGGGGAGGGCTTAGCAGACATGACTCTGATGACCTACTCTTGGGGAGTCCCAGCTGATGTCTCCTACAGCTCCACTGTTATGACTAGGCTGAGGGAAGCCAGAGGGAACCCCCAGGGAGGAAACCAGAGAGGAGGGGAGATGCAGGGGGCTTTGCTCAGAACTGGTCTTCACAGGCTCGTAGCCAAGGACTTAGAGTGACTTGGGTTGGGTCTGTGCTGCTCTCTCTACCAACAGCCCTGCAAGAGGGGGGCATATACTCCCCAATGGGGAGCCCCGGCTGGAGTGCCAGTCCCTCTGATGGTCGCGGCCGGGCTGCACAGGCATGAGGGGCCACGCGCAGCCAGGCACTGCTTTTCCTGTTGTCGTCCTCAACTAGCCCCCAAACCCCTGGCCTCTGACCTTGAGACTTTGCAACCTGGACAGAAGGATTCACTGGGCCCCCACTTCCACTCCCACCAAGAGAAGCGGGGGTCAGCTTGGAAACAACCCAACCCCAGGGCACAGAGCCCTGCTGGGGTGGATGGAGGGAGCCCAGACGCCACAGAAATCAGTTGTTTCCAGATGGGTCAGCACAGCTGAAACGGACAGACAGATGGACAGGCAGATGGGTGGGTGGACAGAGCGGACAGACGAGGGCAAAGCCGGAAGCAGAGGGGAAGGCAGCCTGCGCTCTGGCTGAGCGAGCACCCTTCGTGTCCTCTGTGTCCTGAGGACAGCAAGTGGGTCTTATTTATGCTGTGTCCCTGGCACCAACCTCAATGCCTGCTGTGTGTGTGTGTGTGTGTGTGTGTGTGTGTGTGTGTGTGTGTGTGGCGGGGGCCCTAAGTACTTGGGTGAATGGAAGAACGAGGAAATGATCTTCTGCACCAGGGCGCCCTTCTCCGTCAGGCCTCTCTTGACCCCCAGGAAGAGAGTGACACCACCCTGGCTGTATGTTGCGCAGGGCCAGCCTCCCAGGCACGCCGACCCCACTGCAGGCCCAGCAGCGCCAGCCAGCACCTCTACGTCTGCTGCCGGCGAGGGTGGAGGAAGGCCTGGGTGATGTACCTGGGCTGGCTCAGCCCCCCAGCCAGGGAGCAGTTTCTCCTAGAACAGTGATGGCGAACCTTTTGAGCTCGGCGTGTCAGCATTTTGAAAAACCCTAACTTAACTCTGGTGCCGTGTCACATATAGAAACTTTTTGATATTTGCAACCATAGTAAAACAAAGATTTATATTTTCGATATTTATTTTATATATTTAAATGCCATTTAACGAAGAAAAATCAACCAAAAAAAATGAGTTCGCGTGTCACCTCTGACATGCGTGTCATAGGTTCGCCATCACTGTCCTAGAAGCTGCTCGGTGAAGCCTTCCGACCCAGGAGGACTCAAGGTGCTTGACCAAGGACTTGGGTCTCCGAGACCGAAGTCTCATTGGAAATTAACATTAACCCTGAAGGAGAGCGTCCGGCCAGGGTTTCTGCGGCCATGCACATCTGAGACAGGAAGCGCGCCCACTGTGGGCCTCTCCAGGGGAAAGTGGGAGCGTGTGTATGGAGGAGGGGGGGTCAGACAGAAAGTGAAAGAGAGATGAGAGACACAGAGAAAGGTAAAGAGGGAATGAGTGATGGGAGCGGAAAGGTGACAGCTGGGAAGAGAGAGACAGAACTTGGGGGGGGCGTGCACTGGGCAGCGGGCAGGCCCTGCAGGGACACGGAGGGGGCAGCAGGCAGAGCCCTCTCTGCAGAGGAAGATGCGCTGGTGCTCAGAGGCAGCAGGAGGGAGAGAGCAGAGGGGCACACACGCCGGGTGGGAAGAGCAGGGAGGGTGGCAGGGAGAGGAGGATTCCGGGGAGGGAAGGAGGCTTCGGGGGAGGGAGCCAACCCAGGCACAGGGCTCGGGCAGGTTCCAAAGGAACTGGAGAGAGGGGCGGCGAGGAGGGAGAAAGGGCCAGGAGGAGGAAGACCACACCAGAATTACCTGATCAAGTGATAGCTGTGAGAGGCCAGAGTGCAGCAGAGAGGGGAGGGTGGGGAGAGAGGAGGGACATGCGCCGGGTCAGAGCGGAATGGGACAGAGAGAGAACGTCAGTCAGGAATAAGCCCTTCCCGTTGGTCGTGGCTGGGCTGGGACCCCAGCCGGGCCCTCCACCCTCCCCGGGGCCACCCCCACCTCCCCACTGCACCCACTGCCCAGCTGTTGTCTGAGGGTGGGAGGTTCCAGCATGGCACAGAGGGGTGCTGAGTGCTGGGGGAACCACGGCCGTGTTCAACAGGTGAGGAGACAGGCAGAGAGGAGCGGAAACTCGAGTCCACGCAACAAATCCGGGCAGAGGTTGGCTCTGGGCTCCCAGCTGGGTGCTCATTCCAGAAGCTACCAGCTCTGGCGGAGGGGGTGGGCTGGGGGCCACTGGGAGCCTTCTCCCCGCGTGGGCCATGTGGTCAGGCCTTCTCCGGGCCCAGAGCTCGGGAGGAGGGGCAGCTGGCTGGGTGGGAGCCGGGTCTGTCTTGGGGCAGGGACGGCCGAGGAGGTGGTCAGAGCCTACTCACTTCTGGAGCACGAAGATGCCCACGATGAGGGTGAAGGAGATCAGGTCCGCGGTGACCCACATGAGGCAGTACTCGTCCGGGGGCTGTGGACAGACGGCCCGTGGCCAGCCTCCAGTCACAGCCGGTCCACGTCAGGCTCCAGACGGAGGGTCCACGGGCAGGGAGGACCCGGAGGCCTGAGCTCTGGGCATTGTGGGTCGGGGAGGGGAGGGTGTGTGTGTGTGCACAGGATAAAATGCCCGTGTGGTGTTCGGAATAAAGACGGTCAGTGTTCAGCCTGGAGGGTTTGGGTGCTTAAGGAGGCTCAAAGCCAGAGGCCAATAATGAAAGGCAGATGAGTGTGAGGGTTCAACATGACCTGCAGGTGTGCCATGTGTGGCATCGTGTGGGTGTAAGGGCATGTGTCACTGTAGGGTGTGGACTGCAGGGCTTCCCCCAGGGACAGTGGGGAGGGGCCAGGAGGGCAAACCTCTTGGCCTCAGTGGACTGAGGAGGGGCGTTGGTCAACTCCTGTGACCCCAAAACGCGAGTGTGCTCACCCCCACTGCTGCCAGTGTTACTTCATCTCCTCCGGGCTGAGCCTCGGAGATCTTGAAGGACAGAGGGCAGGTGGATGGACCTAACCATCCGTGACCTAGATCTGATCCCTGACCTTGGCTCGGTCTCAGCCGTGACAAGACCCTCCACCTGCCGTTCACCTCCTCGGAGAGGCAGTGGGAGCACGGGTGTGTGTGTGTGGGGTGGGGGGAGGTCAAGGGCTCCCAACCCCCGTGGCAGAGCTGGGCCTGGAATTCAGGCCTGTCTGCAGGTGCTCGGTCAACCAGCTGAAAACTGGTTTGATCCGCTGTGATCTCTGAGCAGATTTTACTGTTCCCTATTCTTATCCTGTTGCCCTCTTTTCACAATGCCTTCCCTTCCTTTAAAATAAAAGATAACAACACCCCAACCCAAAAAACCCAAGTCGTTGTTCACCAGTTCTCTAGGGCCCGTCAGTGATGCTTCTGCCCGTGGGTCCGGCCCGGTCCCTCCCCTCTCTCAGCACCTTAGTGCCCACGCAGCGGCCGCGAACATCCTCCTCGTGCCTCAAGCCTATACCCCCCCAGGGGCTCCCCCCAACCTGAGCACCAGAGACCCGAGTGGAGTCTGCACCCTCCTGGGTGTCACTGGAAGCTCTCAACTCCCCCCAGGTGCCCTCTGCCCCCAGCAGTCCCCCAACTCACCATGATCCAGAGCGGGAAAGGCACCTGGGACAGAGTGTGGGAGTTGTCGGAGGTGACGGAGGGGACCCCCATGCACCACAGCAGGGAGAAGAGCCACGGCGTGTTGACCGTGTAGAGGTTCACACTCAGGTTCCAGGATGCATAGTCCCTGTGGGGTAAGGACAGACTGGTCCGCCTGTGGGTCTGGGTCTGGGAGTCTGTGAGGCGTGATCCCATCCCCACCTGTCCCGAGAGAGGACTCTTCCTCCCAGAGGGCCCAGCTCAGAGCCAAACCCACGTCTGCCTGATGCTCTTGACGTCTCCTCCTTGAGCCAGAAGTCCCTGTGCTTAACCATCTGCCCAGATGCGTGTGTATGTGTGTGTGTGTGCGTGCATTTGAGAGGGAGAGGAAGAGACAGGCAGACAGTATGGAGGAACTCAGTCTTGCCCTCCTCTGGCTGAGCTGGGGCGGGTGGGGTGGGCACCTGAGCTCCTGGCGGGACACCTGAGTGTAGCGCAGGTTCAGCCACTGGATGTGGCCTCTATGGAGGCTGGTAGCTTCCTCCTTGGAGCCTGACGTCTGCTGGAAGCCAGGAGCCACCTTCCGTACAAAGGGCCTCTGCCTGTTAGGCAGCCACATGACCTGCGGGCAGAGAGGGGGCGGCCTCAGATCTCTCATCTGTAAATGGCTTGAGCCTACCCCTCCGAAAGCACCTAGAAGGGTGAAAAGAGACAGGACAGGCAGGCCTGACACGTGGAAAAGCTTACATGTAATTACTGTAATCAGGGGATGACTTGGTCCCAGCCAAGGCTGGGGATTGCTTTGGCAATAACCCAGGGAGCTTGTCCTCTAGCCCAGTGATGGCGAACCTTTTGAGCTCGGCGTGTCAGCATTTTGAAAAACCCTAACTTAACTCTGGTGCCGTGTCACATATAGGAATTTTTTGATATTTGCAACCATAGTAAAACAAAGACTTATGTTTTTGATATTTATTTTATATATTTAAATGCCATTTAACGAAGAAAAATCAACCAAAAAAAAATGAGTTCGCGTGTCACCTCTGACACGTGTGTCATAGGTTCGCCATCACTGCTCTGGCCCCTGGTCACAATGACTGATAACGAAATGTCAGTTACTCTGCACGCGGCCACCAGCATCTAGTGTGCGTCACACGTTGGTGTGAGATTCCTCAGATCTCCAGATATTACCCCACGAGGATGTGGGCACTGCTTCCTGGCAGTAAAAGGGACTTCCTTGTTACCCTCTGGTCCCCACAATGACCCTGTCAGGGAGGCAAGGGGCATGGTACCCCATCTTACAAATGTGGAAGCTGAGGTCTGCAGAGGGGGCCTGTGAGTTAATGCTGAGTCCCGGAGGCTGGCTGGGCGCCAGGCCTCACCTGGTGCTGGGGGAAGCCGGAGCGCAGCAAGGCCTCCAGGGTGATGTTGAGGAAGCTGGCTCGGTAGGGATGGTCCCGCGGAGGGTCGCGCAGGTTGAGCAGCAGCGTGGCATTGCCCTTGGCCAACGCCAGGAGCTCAGCGAGGCTGCAGATGGACTGGTTCTGGGCCTCCCTGTGGTCGGAGGGGGACAGGGAGCTGGCCGTCCAGAAGGGATCCGTCTGCAGAGACAAGGACACACATGGCTGCCTCACCAGCACCTGAGGGGCCCCCACGTGCCTTCCTGGCTCCTGAGCACCGAGACCCCTGAGCTGCCAGCATGCGTGTCAGGTGGGTTGATGGCTGTAACCCTGGTGGGGCTGGGGGGGTGGGGGGAGCGGGGCTCTAGGAGACCCCACCCTCCCCTCTCCCCCACACCCTGCTCACCAAAAGAATTATTTGCTTGGAACATCTCCCAGACCCCAGCACACTTCTCCTTGAGTAACATTTCAGACCAGAGAAACCACTTTCCTCTCTGGAGTGTTACCGAGTTGGAGTACCATTTTAAACTATTGTCACCATCAGTTTCCTGGTGAGGGGGACAGACCAGCACACGCAGTGACAACCACGGTGTCAGGGCTGCAGAGGCAAGAGCCCAAGGGGGCCGCTAGCAAGCCACTGTGAGGGACGCTGGGGAGTGGGGTCCCCTGAGCTGATGGCCGCCCCGCTCTCACTGCACGGGGTCCCCACCCACGCTTTCCACACTCGGACCGGGGCAGGTGCCACCACCAGACCTTCAGGAACCACTGGCCGGCGTTGAGCCTCTGCAGGACAGTCCAGTTGAGCATGGAGGCGGGCCTGTGGGCCAGCTCCGGGAACGCCTCCTCCACGTTGGTGGTGCGCCGCAGCGTGGTGTCGTGCATGAGGAAGGGCACGCCGTCCAGGCTGCAGGGGGGCGGGCCACGGAGTCACTGCCCACCCGGCCCCTCACCTGCCCCCAGTCATCACCCCTGCCCCCCACCCACGTACACCAACCCGCCAGGGGACCCTGCAGGCTCTGCCCCTCTCTGGGCCTCAGGTTCCCCGTCTGCACAGGGAAGGCAGTGGGCTGGTGGGCGACGCCTTCAAGTTCTCTAGGAGGGTCAGAGGAGGCTGGGCCTATTCTCTTGGCAACTTTGGCAGGTAGGGGCTACCTCATTTGATAAAGGAAGAACTGAGGCTGGGAGAGGGAAGTACCTAGCTCAGTGATGGCGAACCTATGACACGCGTGTCAGAGGTCACACGCGAACTCATTTTTTGGGTTGATTTTTCTTTGTTAAATGGCATTTAAATATATAAAATAAATATCAAAAATATAAATCTTTGTTTTACTATGGTTGCAAATATCAGAAATATTCTATATGTGACACGGCACCAGAGTTAAGTTAGGGTTTTTCAAAATGCTGACACGCCGAGCTCAAAAGGTTCGCCATCACTGACCTAGCTCAAGACCCACAGCCAGTAAGTGGTGGAATCTGGCTCAGAACCCAGTCCGTGCGATGCCATAATGAGAACAGTGCAAACGCAGACCCTTTCGGCAAGCTTTACCCACCACCATCTGAGCCTACCCCAAGTTTGGATCAATATATAATGCTAGGATGTCTACACTGGGAAGGTAAGTCGTGCCCTCAGTACACACCCTGTGCAGCCATACGTGGCAGCCCTGCCCCTCCCCCTTCTCAGAGGTCTGTCATGAGACGGGTGTGGGTTGTTCCTGTCCTTTATACTAATACCCACATATATCTACATGTAGAAAATGTGTAAGTCATTTTAGGGTTTTTTGTTTTTTGTTGCTATTAATGCTTACCCAAGGATATTTTTTCCCATTACTTTTTAGAGATAGTGGAAGGGAGGGAGAGAGAAACATTGATGTGAGAGAGACACATCAATTGGTTGCTTCCCACACACTCCCCCACCAGGGTCTGGGATCGAACCTGCAACCCAGGTCCGTGTCCTTGACTGGGAATCGAACCTGAGACCCTTCAGTGCGCAGGCCACTGCTCTAACCAACGAGCAATACTGGCCAGGGCTGTGTAAGTCATTCTAATGTGGTCTTTTAAAATATAATTGACACCACAGTGAGTGTATAGTCTGCAATGTGCGCATTTCCCTTATCAGAGTGTTTGGCTCCATCTGTCTGAGCCCTAGTCCTTAGTCTGTCCTTCAAGCGGCTCTGTGGCAGGACTCCAGCTCCCACCCCCAGCCCTGCTTCAACCAAGAGCCTCTGTTCTGGAATTTGGCACAAGATTTAATGTCACGAACACGGTGCCTGCCCTGCAGTGGATAATCCGAGCCCCTGCCCTCCCATCGCCGAGGCTCTGGGACCCGCGGTTTCCCCAGTGGAGACCCCATTGTGGGGGGTGGTACCATCCTCACAACCCAGCGCCTACCTGATGGTGACATCGGCTTGCAATCCGTACAGCTTATGCTCCAGGGCCTTCCGGAAGGACATCAGCGTGTGCTCTGGGGCCAGCTGCCGGGAAAGGGGGTAGTGAGGGGAGAGCTGAGATTCAGCTCACGTGCACCTCCCAGCCAAGGGCAGATCTTCCATGCTGGGCCTGGTTCTCGCTCCAACTCCTCCAGGCAATACTGTGTGACAGGCTCAGCCGCCGCTTCTATGAAATCGCGCCTGCCCCGCAGGCTTTCTGGGTGGGAGTGGGAAGCAGGGGTGGTTAGGGTTGGTGTATATAAATGTGGGGGTCCAGTCCTCTGCCTATGGCAGTCTTGGGCCGGGGTGGGGTGAATGCCAAGTTGCCCCTGTTATCCCCCGAGTCCCAGGTAGAGGTCCCAGAGCGAGAGGAGAGGGTCGATCGGCAGCAGTTTCAGGGGGCGGCTGGTCTTCTCCTCTGTGCAGAAGGTGACAAGACCATCTCCTGACTGTTACCTGGGTTGAAAGTCCCAGCATGTTGGCTGATACACAATAACGAGTGACAACTGCTAACCTTACAGCATTCACATCGGAAGAGCCTGGTTCTAGCTCTGACTCTACCGTCAACCAGTGTGTGGCCTTGGGTGGTGCATCCATTTCTCTCATAGACCCCACGTTCCCCTTGAGAGAGCATATTCACTCTTCGTTAAGGCTTTTTCTATTTGGGAGAGTGGAGGTTTTAAGTTTCCCTAGTTCTAGCTGGTTTGAGGACTCTGTCATACCCTTTGCTGCCACTAGGGGTCAGCACCACACCAAGGGTTGGGCTAGGTCGGAGCAAGAGCAGCACAAGGAAGACCAGGGAGGACTCCTGGCTACGAAGGGATGAGGTGGAAAGGGTCCCCATGGCTGATCTCATTCCCCCCAAGACAAGGTCATTCCCATTCTCTCTCCCCCTGGCCGTGCGGTTCCCCAGCATGGAGCACACCGCCCTCGTCTGGGAGGTAGCCTGGGGCGGAAAGGGCTGGGGAGCTGAGAAGGCGCAATACCATTTCCCAGTCCTGGGCCATCACTTCCCCTTTTGGAACCTCAGTTTCTTTAGCTGTAAAATGGGCTAATATTATCAAGCTCATGGGTGGTATAACAGACATCAGTGGGCTCTATCATTTGAGTTTCTTTCTCCCCCTTTCCCTGGTGAGGGGCAGCCCTGTCTCCCAGGGAAATGGGCTGTGTGAGGCCTCGCCCAGAGGTGGGGCAGGGCCACAGAGGCGTCTGGAGAGAGCACGAGGGTCCTGTGGCCAGGTCTCCATGAGTGACCACCCAGGATGGGCCACTGCTCTCTCCTGCTCGGGCTGGGGCGGCAGAGGGAGGCTGTGGGTGGCCCGAGGAAGTGTTTGGAAGGGCCAAAGTCTCTTTCTCGAGGCTTTTTTCAACTCTGCTCTCCCTGTGTTAAGTGCTGGCCTCCTAGAGAAAAGGCATGGAAAGCTGGCCCTCCCTGGCCAGTCCTGGGACTCCAGGAGGACCCCCAGAAGTTTGTGGGCACTCAGGTGACTTGTTCATCCCCATCTTGGGGCTCTCAATGCCTCTGGCCTAAGCCCACGTGTGGTTCTGCTGTCAGGAGTGTGTGTGGGGGGGAGGGGGAGGTTGCAGGGGGAGGCGTGTCACAAACTCAAGTGGGCAGGCCACTGTGGCTAAAAGTCCAAGCTTTGGAGTTAGTCCAACCAAATATTAAAGTGTGCATGTGTGCACACACACTCGGGCACTCGCATGGGAAGGGCACATGGGCACCGTCCCCAAGACAGGGAGGTGCCCTTGGGCTTACACACCCAGATGTGTGGACCGAGTCAGAGCCTCCCACAGGGGGCTGTGCATGGGTATCGCAGCAACACAGAGTTGTGCCGATGCCTTTGCCAGCCCCTCAGAAAACGCCCCAAGAACAGGCACAATGTGTGAAATTCCACAGGACAAATGACTGTTTCTTCAACAACGAAACAGCAACTAAACAACTAAATGTACTCAGAAGGGAGGTCAGCCAGATGCGCTGGCTGGACCCCAGTGGCTTCTGATTTTTAACAACTGAACCGTAAACAGGTATTTCTGAGATAAAGGAAAAGCGAACATTATTAATTGGTTGGGTGTTACAACAGCATTGTGGTTGTGGTCATGTTAAAAAAAGAAAGAAGTCCTATGTGTTATGGTTAGAGATACACCCTGAAGCATGGCTAAATTATACCACGTCTGAGATCTGGTTTAAAATATTACAGCAGATAGAGTGTGGGATCTCGGAAGGCAGGGGAGAAGGGCTGGGTGGGAGGTAATCAACCAAAGACCTTGTATACATATGTGCATAACCCATGGGCACAGGCAGTAGGGTGGTGAAGGCCTGGGGCTGGGGGCGGGGATGGGAGTGGGCTGGATTGGGTTGATAGGGGAAAAAAGGGATATATGTAATATCTATAATAATAAAAGCATACTATGCTAATTAGACTGGACAGCAGAACAACCTTCTGGATGAAGCCACAGCGGCGGGGGCCAAGGCAGAGGCAGTTAGAGGCGATCAGGCAGGCAGGCGAGGGGTTAGGGGCAATCAGGCAGGTAGGCGAGTGGTTAGGGATGATCAGCCAGGCAGGTGAATAGTTAGGGGCGATCAGGCAGGCAGGATTGCGAGAGGATGCAGGACGGGCTGAGGGACCCCTCTCCCACACATGAATTTCATGCACCGGGCCTCTAGTTTTCAACAATAAAAATTTTAAAAGATTAAAAATAAAATAAAATATTACAGTAGAAAAAAGAAAAGTGGGGAAAGATGAAATAAGAATAACAAAGCACAGATGGATGTTGAAGGTGGTACTGGATTCATTACTCTGTTTATTCTTCATTATATCACTCTTTCCATGTCTGTGATTGTTTGAACATTTTCTACTGAAATAATAATCCAGGCTGGGCCACCTTGCTCCTTCCCTGGCCCCTCCCCTCCCTCAGCACCCGTGGCCTGGGAAGGCTGTGCATCTCTCTCTCACCATAGACAGGGCATGAGGCTCAGAGGGGACAGGTGACCCTGGACACACACAGGAGCACATGGCAAAACCGGACCCCAAACCAGATCCCTCTGACTCCAAAGCCATGGCCTGTCCAGCTGGTTGCCTCCAGGAGGTACCGTGACCAGAGCGGGGTTGGGTGGAAGGGCCCCTGGGCTCCCCTGAAATTCAACACCATGGACCTCCCAGTCACTGTGACAGCCAAGAAAAAGCTCTCTCGAAGTCCCCACTGAGGGGGGGCGCGGTACTCCCTCTGCAGAGAACCCAGGTTCAAGGAGAGGAAACCCTGGCCCAGAGAAGGGGGAGGGCTGCCCGAGGTAACAGGGGCGTCTCCCAGGCTCACAGCTGGGCACCTCCCACGTGCTGTGTGTGTCCTGCCTCGCAGGCCCTCGGCCTAGGCTCTCGGTATCTCAGGGCACAAGATGAGGAAACTGGCCCAGAGAAGATGGAGTCAGCCGGGCTCCCAGAGCCACCAGGGGGCGGAGGAAGCTGGCTCTGGAGGACGCCCACTCAAGGGGAGACCCCTGCGGGGTCGCAGGGCGTCAGCAGAGGGGCTGCCGCTGACTTGGGCTCCTTCCTCTCTCCATTTCTGCCCAGTTCAGCTGGGGCAGTCTTCCCTTTGGCAGTGGGCTCTGGGCTGCGCCTGCCTCTCCTGCCCCACAGCCCGGGCACAGCCTGCAGGCAGCCCTCTTCCCTACCCACCAGCTCTCAGCCTCTCATCAGCCCTTCCCACATTCCCCCCAAAGGCTGAAGATTGTAGTATTTCATTCCATGCACCCTCATTTCCCTGCAAGTCCCTCCCTACAAGGACAGAGGTCTTTGCTCATCTCCCCTAGAACGGCAGCTCTGCTCCCGCCCCTCCCCTGTCAGGGCCTTCAGGGGCACTCACCATGGGGACCCCGCGGTGGCCAATGAGGGCGGGCTTGGGGCCCAGGTCCTTCTTCTCCATGATGCAGGGAGAGGAGATGGTGAGAGGGGCCAGGTAGAGGGCAAACACCACGGCGGAGAAGATGCAGAGGATGGCCATCTGGGAGGCTGTGGGCACAGCGAGAGCACCGCCCGTGAGCGCTCAGCTCCCATCAGGCCCGACCATGAGCCCTGGGCAGGTTGTGGGAGACCCCCATCCCCTCCAGTGTCAGGACACACATGCTCTGAAGAGACCCTGCACTAAGGGCAGCCCCCATCGTGACCAGAGAGAGGGGACCCTGGCCTCTGACTCACACAGACACAGACGCAGATGCAGACGAGGAAGTGGGCACCGCTGACTGGAGCTGCTGCCCTCCATGGACCCCACAGCTACGCCGAGAGCAAGGCCCCCCCTCCTCACAGGGCACCCAGGGAACATCTAGGGGAGGGCGGGGTTGGGGGCAGGTCCTGCCCAGTCGTACTTACAGGACCGCTCTGCCCGGGCGAACTGTCCTGCCACGATCCAGGAGAGCGCGGTGACGGCGGCCAGGGCCCCCATGTGCAGGAACGGAGCTGTGCCCTTGTGTGCGAGGGGCAAAGGCACCGCTGACTCCCAGCCATGCCAGACCCTCTGCCCACCAACACCCTGATGGCCCGTCTCTGTCCACGGGGCAGGGCACCCCCGGAGACGCTGGGCGTCAGGGACCCTGGGCTGTCACCCTCCCTCCCCTGACCTGCTGAGACCTGGACCCCTCCTGCCCCCTCGGGGTCTTGGTCTGAGGAAATCATGTGATAAAGAGACAGACGCTGCCTTCTTTTGAGTGTTTGAGGGGAGCCCCACCCCCAGCCTCACTCACCTGCAGGGAGATGAGCAGCACCTCCCACTCGTCCTCCCACAACTGGGCCATGGCCGACATGGCCACCACCGTGGACACCAGGATGACCACCAGCCCCATCTGGAAGGGGAAGAGCAGGTGTGGCTGGACAGGCCAAGGGCCCCAGTGTGTCTGAGAGGGAGAGCGGGGGGAGAGGCCAGGACCATGGGAAGAGATGAGAGCACAGGAGAGGCAGACAGAGCAGGGAAGGGGAGCAGGAGAGAGACAGCACAGATTGGAAGAAGCTGAGACAGCGAGTGACAGAGATGACAGCGAGAGACAGAGATGACAGCGAGAGACAGGGAGGACAGCGAGAGACAGGGAGGACAGCGAGAGACAGAGATGACAGCAAGAGTCAGGGATGACAACGAGAGAGAGGGATGACAGCGAGAGACAGAGAGGACAGCGAGAGACAGAGATGACAGCGAGAGACAGAGAGGACAGTGAGAGACAGAGATGACAGCGAGAGACAGAGAGGACAGCGAGAGACAGGGAGGACAGCGAGAGACAGAGAGGACAGCGAGAGACAGAGATGACAGCGAGAGACAGGGATGACAGCGAGAGACAGAGAGGACAGCG